CTATTTACTTATTGTTTCTACTAGCTTCTTGTTCCTAGTAGTAAGGCCCTTGCTCCTAGTAGCGATGCCCTTTGCTCCTAGTAGCGTCCATTGTTCCTGATAGAACAGTAGATGCCGGATTTCCTTTTGTGGACCCAATCGCGGATCTTTCCCGAAAGGTTTGGACAACGCCAGAAGGGTTGTTTTTACAAGTGGCCAATCAAGGAGTTATTATCAACTCCCAAGTGTCACTTGGAGCAGGTGCTCACAGTCATCAACATAGTTTTGCATCACATATGTACAATCGATTGGCTTGGGTACACTCAGTGTGGTTTCTGTCAACCAACCTCTCAACATGAAAGTGTATGAGGAGATTTCAACCAGGATTGGACTTTCACATCTCAATCTCACCTTCCTCGAGGCTTTGTCCTTGAACATGATCGTTGCACCTTTTACATGGATGCCCATGGGATTAGCGCCACGGTGTGGGGCCCGGACGTCGAGAGTGGGATGTTGAGAGGGGCGCATGGCATATGCGAGACGGGTATGAGCTGGATGCAGCTAGCAGCTAGCAGGTTGGCCAAGAACGTGCCAGCAGTAACAATGCAATGATGGTGCCTGAGCAAGGTGTGGAACACATGCATGTGGCAGGCTGTCCTTAGCGCCCTTTCCTTCATCCTGGATGGTTCATTCATGCAATTTATCCATCTTTGGACTCAGTGGCGCCCGAGGTCTTGAAAGTGCTGGTGGTTCTCATAGCTTTCCTGGTGCCGAGCTGAGCGTGAGCTTCGCGTGTCACCAGATGCCAGTAGAACAGATTTGTGATGATTTATGGCATGCTCTTGATGTGCTACTGCTGCTGCGTGAATTGAAAGGTTCCGGTTGTGCTCTTATAGCAACGGCTTGAGTGTGCAAGTAGATCATCCCCGCGGCCTGCGGCACGCAAAGCCTGAGGTGATGGTGGTGCTGATTTGCTACTGCCGCGGCTATCGCAGCGAACATGCCGAGCCTCGACGGGATGTGTCGAAGTTGGTTGGGAGGTGCCAAGATGGGCTGAAATCAAGAACCAAGGAACTTTCACTGTGAGGGGCCCCTACAAGCACAGGAAAAGATGAACATGCAGAACTCTTAGATAGTTCATATCCACAAACAACTCCCCGGACTCAGCACGGACTCGGCCGAACTCAGGACGAGAACCTGCGCAACATGATCGAGGCACGTCGGCACCGGCGCTTGTGCAAGCTGCACAAGTGGGCCCCTTGGATGCGCGATGGGTGATGAGAAAAAAGGAACTCACCAAGGCCCACAGGAGCAACAAAAAGGGTTAGCAACCTGGCATCCGGACATCCATATCTCCATCGTATGGGAGGAAAACCAGTAATCTACACTAAGGCTGCCCAGGTTGAACCTTAGATGTGGGAAGTGCTTCGACTGGATTTGCGCCGCGTCGTTCGCGGCGCGACGGATCCCACATTAGGCGGACGTCGCCCCGAGGACCGGACGAGCGAAAAGACGCCGCGGCGGTGGTTCGACTTGAGCGCCAGGGAGCCCCAGCGAGCCGCAAAACCGGTGGAACACGGCGCGCGAGCCGGGCGCGTGTTTTTCGCCCGCCCACCGGTGCAGCGGGTCCAGGTGAGCATGATGAAGGATGACATTGCAGGCTGGGGCTTAGTTAAGGAAGGTCTTTGCACTAAGCCACTGAGCACAGGTTTCACAACCATGCTTGCCCATGATTCTCATTTGACGTTCACAGCCATAACTTATGGCTGTGGCAGCTTGGGTTTACAATTAGGTTCCCTTCAAGACACCATTGACCCGACTCCTTAAGAGCCGGCCCCTCAGCAAAGGAAGTGCCATATCTCTTGAAGACCCTCCAAAGGGCGTTTTCTGAGGCAAACAGTTTAAAAGTTGTAGAAGTTTGACAATGGTCCACGCAACGGCCCACCATGTTCCCACACATCCTGAGCTCTGGAGGAGTTGGCGTGGCGTTGTACTACAAGCGGATTTTCCATATGGGACTTTGTGGGCTGGTTTGCGTGGCCTGCCCCATGGCCAGATGCCGTGCGTTCGATGCTTCCCATTCGTTCGTGGTTTTTAGTTGCATTCATGGTGGGAAAGGGCCTGACGACGTGCCACCGAGGCATGTGCATGCCGCTTGGTGAAGCATATCAGTGGTCTCGTGTCTTGATGTGTGAGCTGCTGCTCGTAGGCCAGAGAAACCCACCAAGATCGGCTCGAGGCTCTACGCACCTGCTGGTCTCCAGAAGTACCTCCCAATGAAGGAGGCAGGTGGATAAGAGATATTGCGAGGTTGTGGATTTGGATCAAGAGATCAAGCAGCTTCCTCAGCTTCCGTCCTATCCTTCTTCTCCTCCCCTCCCTTCCGCCCTTCCTTTCGACCCCAGCATTTGGCGATGCCGAACGCCGGACTGCCGATCGATCTACCCCACCGGAGAAAGAGACCATCCATTGGAACACGCTTCAGCACCAGGAGGTGATCTTGGATAAGATGCTGGATGCCTTCAAAAAGTCAGAGACGACGCCAGCTGTGCCTTGGAGACGACACCGGGATGCCATGGGCGGCGCCGATGGCCTGGGTGGGGTTGGAAGGCGAGCGACCCGAGAGCTAGGCCAGGAGCCCCTAGTAGCGTCCTTGCTCCTAGTAGTAAGGCCAGGAGCCCCTAGCAACTTGGGAGACTCTTTTCAAGCGAAGACCCGCCATGGGCTATGAAGGGAGCTAGCTAGCTAATTTCAAGGCCATACCAAATGCATGGGACATGTGTTGTGTAGGTGAGGTCAAACTCTGAAAGGGGAACATCACTTCATCCAGGGCAGGACAGAGAGAACTGATCTGAACCATTTGGACAATCCGCAGCTCATATCCATAAGTCATAAGTCTTCCCTCCGATCTCTGACTTAATTTGATCTGACCATCTTCGGGAGGGGCTTTTGAAAGGGTCACTTTGGACGGTGAGTCGTGCCTTGTTCTTCCAGTGGGCCGAGCACCCTCTGCTGAGCTCCCGGGCTTGCGCAGAGGTGCTTTTCTCACCGTTGGTGAAATGTGCGCACTTCACACCGGAGCTGCGCGTGGCCTGGATGAGCGGGACGGGTTGGGCCTGAAACATCGATGACGTTCACTGGCTGGGCCTTGTTTGAAGATCAGAGTTGGATCGGGTGGAATGGATTGGGGTTACATTGGGAGTCTTTTACATCTCCACCGGAGTTGATCGTGTTGGGTGGGATGTCATACCTTCGCTCGGCGGTCTCGGCGGTCCGCTGGAGATTTGTGGTAGGCTGAACGTGTGCCACCGGAATGGTCGGTGCTGACGAAGAGAGCCGCATGGGGGGTTCGATTTTGGGGGGTTCGGACCGTTGGTGCAAGGCCTTCGTGGAGGATCTGGGTCTTCTTCCCAAAAGCTAGCATGAGTGCTTCGTTAGATTGCATGTCAATGATCGTTCGATTGCATGCCTTCAGCTGTCGCCACGACATTTGGGCAGCAGTTTTTGGAGCACCATGGAGCCACCTAGGCCGAGGCCCTGCAAGATTTCGCAGAGCATAGCTTTTGGACCTTGTGCCACTCTGGCTTTATTGGTGGCCCTCATCAGGGATCATCGGGGGACATTATGAGTACAGTACTGGAAAGGGGATCCGAATGGATCGGAGCGCTCCGGATTTCAACCCGTTCCGCCTGTGAACTGTTGAATGTCGATCAAGCTGCTTCTTCACTCTGGTAGGGCAGCAGAAGGAAGTATTCCTGTTGGCCTTTCCACTAGGAGATCCCGAACAGGTGTCCTGGTCCTATACCAAGGCTTTGTGCTAAGTATTTTATGCCGGGTTTGAGAGAACTGTTGCCCCTGGCTGTGCCCCATTCCCTTTGTAGTACCGAGTGCCCCATTCTTTCTGGAGTACCGAGTGCCGAAAGGGTCATTGAGTGTGTTTGAGCAAGAATGCCCTGTGTTGTTGGGGTTGACCTTGGAGATGGAAACCGCATGAGACCGCTCATGGAGGCATCATTCTTGTCCGAAAGATGAAGTTTCTGAAGGACCGGTGTTCATGAGCTGACCGGTGCTCGGTGTGTTTGGGAGCGCTCCCAGGTGCGATGTGGGGTTTCATCTTTGTGGCACCCTCAGCACGGCGCTGTCACGTGAGCGAATGGAGTCAAAGAAGGCGCTGTCACAGCGTTGAGACCACACTGAGGTGCTGTCGTTGCAGCAGAGCTACAGTTCCTTGGAACACACTTTTGGGGTTGATACCAGCCACAGAAGTTCTGAATTTCAATTTACCTCAAGCTTACTCAGTCCTTCCCTATTTCCCCACAACTTCTACATTTGGCAATTCCAACACCGAGGATAACCGATAACCTCTATATATAGCCCTATTGTGGGAACATGGGAACCTACGTGTTGTACTGTGATCCATTTCTGCGACTGATGTAAACCAGGTTGCTACCATTTCTACACCTGGTTCGATGAGCAGAACGTGGACAGCTCGGACTATGCCGTGTTGCTGACGGGGCCTGAGACTGGTGCTGTCTCGGTGTTCTGGTTCCTTCTGGGATGCATGAACATTGGAAAAGCTTCTTTGTTGTGCCTTCTCGACGGACGGGTGTTCTCTTTTTGTCTTGAGGACGGGCTTGCCAGCGAGCACCACGAATGAGGCAGGGCTCAGCTTGAACGGAAAGAGTTTGGCACAGAGAGCCTTTGACCTCTGTTTGTTCTGCGGATAGCTCGCCAACAAGTTTTCGCTGCCCAAGCTGGTTCGTCAGTTCTCCAGCTATTCGCTACTTGTCGTGTCGGGGATGTGGTTTCTTGCGGCTTGTGTTGCTTTGGCCTGTTGCTATTCTTGGAGTTTGCTTGCTGCAACTTTTTGATAGCTCCTTGTAGCCAGCGTGGCAAGAAAGTGCTTGCCGCCTATAACTAGCTTGCAGGTGCCCTCATTCTTTTCGTTGGAGAAACTGACTTGGCAGAATATCGGCGTGTTGCCATAGGCCCAGTTGCAGAAGATGCTGGAGAAGCAACTCCGGCAACACATGGAGCTGGACGAGGGCGACATCCACGGGGTAAGTATTGCCTACGACCTCTCGGACCTTCGGCACAACTCCGCTCTTCCCTTGATCGTATATGCAGAAAACCCATCCACCCGAAAACAATATTGGTAGAACACTGGAAGAGGAGGTCCTCTTTTCATTTTTGGTCTTCATTTTTACATATCTTTCCATATTTTTCCACTAGCGAGGGCCCACATCTATCCATCCAGGACTTCACTTTGCGCACGGAAGTGGAGACAATCCTCTCAAACATCACCCGCCACAAGGCGCATTCGCGCGAAAGCGACTTCGCCGACGCCAATTCGCGCGACGCGTCGTGTCGGGGACGCGTCGCTTGCTGAGCGGGTCCGATAGAGACCTGAGAATCCTGAGAAGGTCCGATGGATGTCCTACGAGAAAAGAAAACTTTTGGAAGCAGTTCCTGCCGCGAGTCCACCAAAACAGAATCATCCAAATGGGAGTGTCAAGCGATGTCATCCCATTTGGAGAACGCCCCTGGCAGTCCTTTTCGTTGGTTCTTTTCGGGCTGTGGAGCTCCAGGAGTTCCAGATCGGTGCCTTCGAGGGGCGGAAGAGTTGGACGTCCCGGATGTTTGAATGGGAGAAGCAGCAAGCGGAGGATAAGGAGAAGACCGAGCGGATGTTCAACGATGGGATCCTGGGCCGACAAAAACACCGGGTGGCTGGGGAGTGGGGCGAGGTGAAGCAGATGTGAAGCGGAGTTCTTTTTGCCAGGGAACTCGGTTGAGAACTAGAAATCTAAGATGGGGCGACTTGGGGGTGAAGGGCCAGTACACGCCAAAGCAGCGCTGGGGGCTGACGAATTGGTGAATAGCAGGATGCCAAAGCTATTTGCCATGAATTCGCCATGACTGAGCCACCCTGCAGAAATTCGGATCTATCCTCGGGTTTTGGACCTCTAACTATATAATTAGGTGACATAGTAGGTGACATTCATTCAGATCATTCAGCAATCGCTTCTGAGGCCCCAGCAGCCTAGCAGGGCCTATCACACCCTGTGTGGATTTGCATTCTGCAAAAGCTATACCCTCCAGTCACCCAAGCGATTTCCACCTGGGGGACTTCTTGAGGCGCCTGAAATCTGTGGGGCGAGCCTTCGTGGTCTTCAACAAGGCGTCCAAGCGCGATGAAGTCCTGGAGAAGTACGGCCACTCGGATCCGCAGGATCCGAAGGATCCGAATGGACTACACCGCGTCGCGAGACGGAGAACCAAGGGTCTTGGACCGTATTTAGTCGTATTGACTGATCATGGCAGACCTGAACGAACGCCGGCGGCTTGCAGATCGAACGCGTCGCGTCGCGCGGGTCGCGCCGCCTCGCCCAACGGTCGCCCAACGGTCGCCCGACCGTCGCGCACTCGAGGTGTGAACAAGAAGGTGATAGAGATGCCAGAGCTCCCAAACGTGGCTGCTTGACAGGATGTTTTCTGTCTGTGCGACTGGCGTCCCAAGTCGAATTCGAAGGACAAATCAATCTTTTGAACAAAGTCCATTGAGCTTCTGGGCTTGGCAATCGATCAATCTGAATCTGGCTCTTTAAGGATAGCACGTTTGAATTCAGAACTTCCAAAACTTCCCCACACTAAAGATCTAAAGTTAAGGTCTTGTTTGTCCTCCCACTGCGTCGCATGATTCTCACGTACTTTGCCTGGAGCATCTTTGGAGCCCTCCAACCCCCCCAGAACACCACCACCATCTCCCGGGCATGTCCAACTCCGAGGAGATTGAAGGTGTCGACTTCGACCCCGTGTCCGTTTTCTGGGAAAACCAGCACAACACAGACAGCAAGGTGGGCCACAATGCTGTGTCCGGGAGCTCAGAGTGAGGAACAATTTGCGTGGGCGATGCCACACATGTCCGCCCAATCATCGGCATGTTGGCCCCCAGTTCGGACATAGGATTTGAGTGGATTTGATGCAAAAGATGGTTTGGGGATGTTTGGGAAACAAAGACCGTGACATACCATGGGCATCAAGGCGCGAGCCGACGAAGCGCGACCGAGGAAGGGAGCGTTGAAGGTGGTGGCATTCTTTCTGATCGACGCTTGCCGAGCTGCGGGTGTTTTCTTCACCGGTGAGGGAGCCGCTGGTGGGATCTTCGGTTGGCCTGGTGCCTGATCTCTTTTCGCTTTGACAGTTCCGAGGGACCGAGGAAGGGTGGTGTCGCCTCCTTCTTTTGGGTGACTTTGTTGGATTTCGGAACCAGGCATCCGCACCATTCCACAGCCAGAGGACTAGGTGCTTGTGATGTTTTCTGAGGCGTGGATCCCTTGTGCGCGAGACGTGGTTGCTTAGGTCCTTGATTTTGGTTACACTCCTGCTCACACAGATGTGGAACATAACATCCCCTGTTGGTCATGGAACATCGTCTTCCTAAGATAGCATTGTCCAGTTTCTAGTGAGTCCAGATGTGTCAAGAAGAGCAGTTCTAGATGCCCCCCTTTCGACCTTCACGCTTCACCCCTTCCGACTCTGAACGGCTTCGTCGAATTTCCCAGGTGAACGCCTTGATCATCCTTCCCTACAACGCGCCCTGGCGCGTATAACGCGGCTTCTCTGGTGTCCCAGGTCATGCCACCACGGATGTTGGACCGTGTAGCGGTCCACGGCGGGCCCAGGTCTTCGTGGTGGGCGTGTTTATGTCCTCCGGCGCTGACCTGGCGGGACCAAGTGCTTTGGCAGAAGTTTCTGGCTGTTCCCTCCGAGTCAAGCAGTAGGGGATGATTTAACAGAAACAGTTTGACGAACAGGGTTCAAAACACAATGGGACAATGTCCAAGATTGTGTTTTTGTGGGGGCATCTCAGGCCAAACAATCGCTGGCCTGCTGTTGGGCATCGTTAATCAGCAGATCTCCGCACAGGCATGCATTTTGGAGTACAGACATGTGACACATGGCTGCATGGACATGTGACCTCAAAGTCAATGGATGCACACCTTTAGGTGTCTGTTTGGCTTTTTCATACCCATGCTTTCGGACCAGATCTGCAGTTTGGGAGATTCTTGCACACCTCGCCAAGGAACGACCATACTGTAGTAACTCCAAGCGAACCACCTCCCAGCCGCGCGTGACTCACGTGACGTGACCGACAGACAGTTCCAAACGGGGTTGACCTGCCGGACGGGAGGTCTACAACCAGGCGTGGTTCGCTGGCTTCAAGAAGAAGGCGGCCGGTCGTTGGAGACCGAGAGCGGGTGAAGTGGCCCAAGTTCTTGTGTCAGGAAAGAGAGTTAAAGAAAGAAAGCAATCATTAATCATATGACAGTCAGGATGCCTTCGCTTCACAAATTCCTTTTGAACCATGTTTCCCTGCCAGCCTGGCTGTGGTGGTAGTAGTAGTCGTAGTCGTAGTCGTAGTCGTAGTCGTAGTCGTCGTCGTAGTAGTAGTAGGAGTCGTGGACATATCTCGAAGCTCTGGGATTTGAGCTTCAATCCTCTCTGCCAGGATCGATTCGACACCTTCATTTTCGTGTTGAATACCACCGTGCAGTTTTTCAACACTTGGCTGGGCCTGGGGGCTGCTTGACGAAGCATAGATGTTTAGACTAGGAAGAAAGGAGCACCATAAGCACACAAAAGACCATATATATATATAAGTACCTTCCGCATTCAAGATGACAGGACAGCTGTGCAGCTCCAAGCCATTTACCATTCCCCCCACTCAGATGCCCAAGGTCACGGCTTGGGCAGTCATTGGGAAGGAGGGCGGCACTGTGGAAATCTTTTCGCCCCTGGTGGACACTGGCAACATCGGTCTCTTGGAGATGTGGAGAGGCAGTGTTGCAGCTTGGGTGGGGGGGTGCATGGGGGGATTGCCAGGAGTTGCCATCACTAGGTCTTCGGTGATCGTCTTGTGCGGGCACGTCAAAGTGGGCAAAACGAGGAGTCACCTGTTCTGTGAGCTGTCGTAGAACAAGGCAGTGGGCAGTCTGCAGGTGGTAGGGGACCAACTTGGGATTTGTACGCCATGAACCCTGAAGTCACCTTTTTGAAGCCTCCGCCAGAGGAAGCCACTCACTACCAATCACTGTCATCAGGTGGTTTTTCAGTATTTGTTATTTGTTACTGATTTGATCTGGTCTACTGACTTTGTGCTAGGGAACGAGGGATGGATCCCCACAGAATCTCTATTGGAGGCTCATTCCCAGTGTCTGTCACGCATCAGTGGTCCAAAAAAAGTTCGTATCTTCACATCTGACGTCTTCAGTGCTTAAAGACTGCTCTTCCCAAGGGCTGGAAGCAGCAATTGGTGATGCCTTCTATGCGATGCACGTGCCAGGCACCGGCAGAGGAGTCGACCCTCTCCCGTCCGGTGATATGGGTGCGACGGTCACATGGGGGTGCCATGGGCTTGTTGAAAGAGGGTTGCCCCGCCCAGCCCCGCCCAGCCCCGCCCAGCCTCTCTGGTTGGTTAGGGAGCTGTGAGCTGTCCACTTCGAGTGTCACCACCTAAAGAGCCCTAAGCCAAAGAAAGGCTGCTGGGTGTCGCGGCGGAAGCTATTTTGATTCGAGAGGACGAGTCGCCGACAATGCCTGGCAATTTCGGCACGACACATCTTCAGGCGCAAGCAAGGAGGCGTTTCATTTGGTCTCTGAATCATTTGAGGCCCTGGCTGATCCTCAAAGCCTGCAAGCGCTTCGACCATCATCTGCCTACACTACACTCAAAACGCCAAATCAGAAGTCGAAGCACAAGAAAAAGGAGGCAAAGGCAGCACATCCCAAACGATGCTAGGCATCTACAAGCTCGTATGGGAATAGGCCCGTCCCTGCTTAGGTGGCCGGTGCGAACATCGATACAGTTCAAGTCAAATCGAGGAAATGTGATCTGCCAACAGCTGTCGAGTTCTTGGTTACCCTTGCAACTGCCAAGCAAAAACTGCAAGCAGGCCTCGCACAGGATTTGGATGCCGCTTTTGAGAGCAACCTTCAAGAAGCATTGGGGCAACCCCTTGCTGAGCCAGGCGTGACCACTGAATAGTACGCAACACACAATTAGGGTTGGATTTCGATTGCGTGGTTTCACCACATCCCGAGGGGGAGAGAGAGAGAGAGAGTGTAAGACCTTATCGTACCTATATGAAACATAAAGATAGCGCAAGTGTATGGAGCTCTTCGCTTGTTGACATATGTCTTCGGGACAGCTCGTGCTATACTTTAGTTTGTTCCACCTTGACAGGACCTTCTAGTCAACTATCTATGACTCGATCGCCCTCCATGGGATCAGCGCTGGGTCTGTGCGCGTCATGAATTGTTCCATGACCAAGCCCTGCAACTAGACAAAGCACACATTGATTCTACGATATGTAAGCCGACACTCTTACATACACCTAGATCAGTACTTAGATAATATATAGTTTCCGTCAGAAGCCCAGCAACCCAAATCTCATTCAGGGTCAGATCGCACCTCATCCTTTACCGGAGAGGTGCCCTCCTCAAGGGTTCGGCCTTCCGCTTTTCCCTCACACGTTGGCCGCGGCGGCGCATGTCCTCAGCCTGCAGGTCTTGCTTCGTCAGAGCCTTGTGCCCTCGGAAAATTGACCAAACACAACTTGTCATTCCTGCTTGCACCATCCTTGTGCCTTCTTCGCCGATGCTTTGTGACATTTTGTGACATCATACCGATTCATACCCATGTTCTGTCGCTCCCAATGCTGCAGGTGCTTGTCGCGGTGCTCCGCTTACGAGTGTTACAATGCATATAGTCTCCACAATGGAGCGGCACTGTCACTTGTGATGTCCCACATTTCGTTCACGGCATTCTCAAGATGGTCCCATTGAATTGCCATAAATCTTCAAGCTCAACCGGACAATATCGCCACACCATGCTCGCAAAATCGCCCCTAGCTCGTAGCTTGGATAGATCGCGGGAAGGGTCCAAGAGTCTCAACCATTCTCTGGCAGATTGAACCGTTGGGGAAATGACGTGCCTGCTTCGTCCAATAAGCAAAGATCCATCCAACATGGCCTTTGCCCCAAAGGCAAGACGAAAGGACCAAGAACACAGCTCAGCTGAAGAGACCGAACCGACTCCAGACCCTGGAGACATCTGAATACGCATCCCGCATCCCGACGCCCTTCGCACCTGGGCGACCGGCGCTTCCGCACGAAGCGTCGCCGGTGGAGCCCGGGAGACGCAGAAATGCACACGTCGCGGTGACGTCTCCAATACGGAATCGCGGACTGGATCAGGGAGGTCTAGAGGTTTTGATGATATACACAGGATTGACTTGCTGATAGAGTCTTGACGAGATGATTGTAATCGTCACCCATGGGTGGTGCAAGTACACCTGCTTTACATTGGTTCACCATTGTTCATCCATCGGATGATGTCCAAACCAGATCACCAGGTGTTGTCAAGATGTAGTGGGCCACTTCGTTGTTAAGTTATTGACTTATGACACCCGTCGCAGGTGTGCTCTATGTGAACTATATCATGGGTCTCTTGATGGGTGGTGTGGTGCCTTTCGCGCAGCATACCCTCGCCGCACGGTGTGCAAAACCGGGTGGCTGAGGGAACAATCCCACCTGTCTTAGATGCACGAACAATCAAACACTTGAATAGACATCAAAGTCGTGCATGGCCAAGTGGAAGACTACTGAGACATACTGAGACCATTACACTTTTCGAGTCAAATTGTTTATTTCCAGGAAAACCCGGCGACAAACATCGCTGTCCATCCAGAGTCCAGGTAGTTCTCTGACATTGGACTTTCGTTGCGTTCAGGATGCCCGCGCTATCACTTGCCCCAAGCCGTCTGCCCCTCTCCTCCAGGTTGGCAAGATCATCTACGTTTGGCGGTCCTTGCCCGATTGTTTGCTGAGAGCCTTGAAGCTCATTCTGCCTTGGGCGCCCGATGACCTGGAGCGATACCCCCGCTTCAATGCCGAGAAGGAGGGGGGGCCACGTGTTCTCGCCGCAGGAGCATTCCGCGCGTCTGAATGGCATATTCTTTGCACGATTTGGTGGGTGGTCTTCGTTCAAGGGAGTGGTGTTTCAGCAGCTTTGGGTTCCAATTCGGGTGTTCATTCGTGCTCCCTTGCAGTGCTCGAGTTGGTCCTGGTCGGCCTTGTCCCCGGCGGCACGTGAGGCCATCGAAGCTCCTGAGATGGGCGTCGCCTGGGACTACTCTGCCTTCATCGTGCACATCGCCACCGCCTTCCTGGTCACCGCCGTGGTCTCCGCCTCCGTGCGCCCCGGCCGCCGTGCAGGGCCGGTGCTGGGGGTAGAAGGATCCGTTCGGAGGCCGGCATCTGGACACGCACCAGAAGTGCAGAGCGTTACTGGAATCATCAACCAGTCTTTTTGTCCAAGATATATAACGTAATGCATTCTTTTTCTTTTGCCGGGAGTGAGATGCAGGGATGATTCCACTCCGAGCCACCAAAATGAACTTGGAGCAAAGCTAATTATCGTACATTGGTTCAACAGCGGCCCTGGATTGAATTTAAGATTTGCATTGAATCACCACTTGGTCAAGTTCATGAGTGGTGCATGTTGGTGCTATGAACTTCGGTGGATGCGACTTCCACCACTTTCCGCCAGACCCGAGACGTGCCAAGGTGGAAACTCTTCGTTGCCCTGAGTTGCTGGTGTTTGTGCCCTGAAGGAATGGGGGGACTGGGTCTGTGCTGCTGGCATGCAGGGTCTGTGCTGCTCCACGTCCGAAGTTTCTGACAGGCGCTTGTGGATCATCAAGCAGCAAGACAAACACGACGTGATTAAACATGCTGGACTCAACCGGAGATGTGTTCTCAGGAGCCGTGTTATCGCTCCAAGAATTTGGCAGAGAGAAACATTGAAGAAACCAAGCAATTCAACGTGTAGATCCTTAGATCCAGCAACATGTTCCTTTTTTGATCTGTGCAGCTACCTTCATGGCGGCAGGGCGCCTGAGGTTTTTCAGCCTGTGGAGTCGGTTCATGCACCTTCGAGTTCAAACGGCCTCCAGCTTCAACGGGCACTTGTTGGACACCGCCGTCGCTCGGTGAAAAAAGCGGAGGTCCAAGGAGTGTGGGAAGAAAACGGGCCAGAGGTGGGGGCGGGCGAGAGACAAACGTTGAAGCCTAGTGCAAAGACCCTGATGCGTTAAGATGCGCTAAGTATCCTTATGCAGCACTGTATGGAAGAAAGAGCGCAGACAAGACTCTTTGGTGTGAAGGATTTGCAAAGGGCCGCCCTTCATGATCTTCATGAAGAAGGACGAATCCCATATTGAAGTGAGGAAAGGCACAGTAGGTTTGAAGAAGAACCGAATTCAACCCTAAGCCAGTGTCATTGCTTCGAGACTAGTCAAAGCTTTTCCATCTATAAGCCTAGGTCTTCAAGTGCCAAACCTGTACATTTAGGTCTAGCATGGTCTAGCTGCTGGCTGTTGACAGGGTTTGGGCGGGATCAAGCAATCCACTCGGACATGTTGATTCCTGCTTCCCCCGTCCAATCACGCTCGACCACCCCACCCAAGTTCTTGCCTCTCCGAAGACCGTCCAGCAAGTGCTGGTGAGAACTCGTTTAGACATTTTGGAACCGCTTCCGGCTCTCCCACTTTTTCACTGGGCTCAGATGTCGGAGGCCCACCACTCCTCCAACCCGGTTCGGATCGACGGTCCGAGGGGTGGCTCCTTTGGTCGCTGCCCATGGGCTGTTTGGCCGGCTCCATCTTCGTTTGGGCCGTCAGGCGCAGCCGGACCGGACCGGACCGAGGGGTAGGTGGAGAGTCGAAGGCTGCGAAGGTGCAGAGAAAGGAGAGGACACACCAAGGTGAGATGGGTTTCTAGGGAAGATGTCAGTCCACCTTCTTGTTGGCGTGTGGATCTAGTAAGAAATTTGGAGGACATCTTTGAGAAATGGAGAAGCAAAGCAGTAGCAATTTCAATTCTACAACTATTTTAGAGTAAGCATAGTAAGCCAATACCAACTCTTCTTTGCATTGGGTGCCTCTCTGTATGCTGGGGCTTTGCCGGTGCGGTTTTACCAGGTCCTGGCCATAGATGGGTGAAGAGCTTCCTTAAGGAGTTGTTGCTGGTTCGGTCTGTTTGTGTCTGTCTGTCTGTCTGTCTGTGTCTGTCTGTCTGTCTGTCTGTCTGTCTGTCTGTCTGTCTGCCTCAGTCGGTGCAAGCAAACAGGATGTCAATAATGCAGTCTCACTCGGGGAGAACAACCGACATCACCGATGCCTTGCTGATTTTTGTCCGTTTTCAACAAGCGTCAACAACACAGCATTCTTAGAGCTATGTGCCATCTAGCCATTTCCAGCGAAATCTGCGAGCCCCTGACAACGCCTCAGCACCTTTGGCGCGGGCGGAATTTTTCTTTGATCTGCGAAGACGAAAGGTTATGAACGAATCAAGCAACCCAAACATCGTGACTAGCGCTTCTACTTTGACCTGCTTGGGGGTGATAGTAGGTCTCGGAATGAATGACCAGCTCATCACGCAACAACACATCTTGTCCTTTAATTTGAGGCTTCGTACAGCCTGCGATCATTTGAAAAGCACCCCTTCAACTTTTCTTTGCATCACTTGCCTCAGCTCGTGTGAGGCACTGTGCACCGTGGCGTGCCATGGCGCACCCTCGATTTGCCCCCAAGACCTCCAATGGGCTGGTGTACAGGGGATGGATGTCCAGAGGGTACATTTTCAGGTGACGTCCTGTCGAGTCTGTTGGTAGTTTTCGGACAAAGCCACCAGCAACGGCTGTAGCAACGACGGCGTTCAGGTCCAAGATGGTCCCTGAGATCCATTTGGCCTTCCGCGTTGCCCTACTGGTGCTGGCGATGATTTTGGGGGCCGCATTGTGGGTCTGGGAGCCGAGTCAAGGAAGGGGTCGGTCGGTCACACAGTCACACAGGCAGAGAAGCACGCGTGACACGGGCCTCGCATGTGGGACAGAAGCTGTTTCGATGTTTGAGTGCGGACAGGAGCAGTTCGACCCATCGGGCTGCGGCAGCTCGTGTGATCGAGGTCATGGCCTACCTGCTGATCATCCAGCCCTTCCGCCGCAGCGATGCACCAGCGTCGCAGCACGAAACCGTGGAGGAAGTTATGAGAATGCAGCCCTTCTCTTGGTACAATTGCCACTCGGTCATGACAGTCAGACACCAGATTCCGTGGATGCTTGCACTGGGTCGGGGGCATGGCTCCATTTGTTCGACTGTGTTTTGAGCGAGCGGCTTCTACCGACGGTAACGGTGAGACACCTCACCTGCCCAGGCAACCCGGCATATGTGCTCAAGTGCGCCTACATGAAGGCGGGGACGGTGGATCCCCACGCAGGAGCCTTTGCCACACCAAAACCGGGTGATCCTCACGCGGGATGATGGTGGCCTTCTTCACTTGTAATTGATGACGGTAGGATTGACTTGAAGGTTGTGAGGGGATGGCTCTTTGCAATAAACTGTAATTACTTTGTGGGGGATGCTCGCCACCAATCTAAACTTCCAAGAATGCAATCTTTACTTAGCAGTGACTGGCCAAGTTTGAGTGTGAATGTGCTCAGAGGAAGGCTGGACGAAGGACTCCCATCTCTGTGGTAGATCACTGTTGACTCCAACCTTCCAGAAGCTTCTTGGAAGGAACTGGTGCCTGATTCCCATCTGAGTGGCAACGAGGCTGGTGGGTTTGAGGATCAGTTAAAATGTGGGGGCTTGCGCACACACACACACTGGGACTTCTTGGGCAACCATGGAAGCACTCGCATCTCAATTTTTTTGGGGGTACACTCCTTGAAATAGAGCAACATGGTCATCCAAGGGACCATTTTCATCCATTTTTCACTTCCATGATCTTAGTCTTTGATTATTTCAGGAGTGTGCTGTATTTTTTGTTGTCAAGCTGTTCCCTTTTTTGGGGAGACGGCTGACCACTAACAGATTGGTTGTGCCATGGTGAGACACTTCAACTGCCAGGCTCTCCTCTACCGTCGTGGCAAGGAATACCTTTTCATCGAGAAGGATAAGCAACAGGGCCGCAAGAAGGGCTTTGATCACGACGACGTGAAGCACCGGGCCGAACCGGAAACGGGACCACTCCACCACCGTTTGGTTTTGAAGAAAAAAACGTCCCCGTCCTCCTCGTGACGCAGCATGGAAGCAACGAGGAGAAAGGCCATGCGTCTGAAGCTGCCCGCCCCATTTGGCTGGTTCTGTCGCAGAGCCAGGGAGTTGTTGGTAGACCCTCAGCGACCAGACTTGAGATGAACGGTTTGGAGACATCGCCAAGCCTGTCAGTGCTGAGGCAGAAGAGAGTCACTGATCGGCCCAGCGCTCAGATCCGGCAAAACAACCAAAGAACAAGTAGCAGACAGCCGCAAATGGTCAGGTTGGCACACTTCCTAAGGTGGGCCCTGAGCAACTGTAACATAAATTCCGGCTTAAATCAGCACAATTTTCTTGTTGTGAGAAAGCATTGTTTCTCAAGTGGGGGGTCTTGGATCTCAAACGAGGTTCGAAGATATGTACGAGTTCGAGACCTACATGGAATGGATCTACGAAAAACTGGGGCTGCCTGGCACTGTCCCTTTTGTCCTTCAGGTGGATCATGACCCCACGGCTGTCATAGTTTTTCAGGCCTTAACATCTCTTAAGATCTCTCAAGATGTTCAGAGGAAATTGGGCTCGTAAAAACCAGTCTCACATCGTTGTGGGCAGACCGCCGCTTGGGCCATGGAAAAACGCTTGCTTGGGCAGCACTGCTTTTCCCGACCTGCTGAGTCCTGAGGGTGTATTCACGGATGAGCTTCTCAGATTGCCGAACTTTAGAGAAAGCGGAGGAGCCGAGATGAGCGTTTCCAGCAGGGGGAAATAGTGAGATCTAGACTACCCAACCAGTGAAGTCAGAACTGGGCACGGTGCCAGAAGCACGAAGACTGCTCCCAACTTGGGCCCCTGATTGATGAAGGTGGATGTGAACTGTGACGTTTCTTGTCCATGCTTTGTCCGCCAGCCATCGGTTGCATTTTCTGCCGCAAGCTTTGCCAGTGAAAAAGGGTCCAGCCTTAGTGAAGGCATGGATAAACAACAAGCCAGAATGACCGGTTCTTTGCCATGGAAGAACACGGGTTTGGCGTCCATGCCGATCGAACCACATTGTCCTCCATGCTTCAGGTCGGGCAGGATGGAAGTCACAAATAGCAGCCGCACCTGAAACGGAACTCACACCTCCTCCTTGGGTTTCACGGCTTGGAGCGGGGGTGGCTGGGCTGGGCGGAACCTTCTCACTCAACGAGGCACCACTGGTTGTTTGGTTTTTTGTTCTTTTTCCTTTGGGTGGTTGGGGATTTGTGATGCGAGTTCATGGAGAACTCTTCCTCCCGATCAGGAGACTGAGATCCAGAAGTACACCCGACTCGAAAGCGAGGCCGAAGTGGTACCATGAGAGTGATGCTGGACGCTGTCGGCCTCGTAGAGGAGCCTGTTTTGAATTTGCTGTGTAGTATATGTGCGATATACCATGAGAAGCTGGCCATGGCGGTGCAGATTTGGATGGAATCTTCACCCGGCGTTTCACCGGTTTTTAGGCGCTTTTTGTCTACATCGATCAGCTGGACAAAGTGCCTCTGATCTTTAGACCCTCGCCGTGCGTGCTCAATTTCTTGGCAGAAATCTTGGCCAAGAGTGCCCCTGCAAGCGTGGCGTGCAAAAACTGCCATTGAAAGAAACGGCCCCCCCAATTCAGTATCGTTGGCGAGGACTGTTTCTTTTCCAAACATGTCCACCCTGCAAAGAGCTTCAGAAACACAGAAGCACCCTCTGATCCGCACGAACAGTTAGCTCAAGGGACTTGGCTCCCAAGGTTGTTTTGGCTCACTTGTGGGACAATGCTCCTCAGCCTTTTGAGTTGCGCTCTTTTTCGGCTCCAGGGATCAAGTGCCGAAGGGATGGAGAAATTGCAAGCAGGGTCCCGAGGACCTTTCGCATCGTGAATGCAGAGTTGTCACGAAGCTCTCTCTCGAAGCATTTAAGACACACCATGCAGTTGATAAAGAGGGGGTCAAGCCAGGCTAAGCTGTTGATTTGTTGGAACAAGCAGTTAGGCGAAGTGGTTGAGCGGCTGTTAGGCACGCGACACAGCTGTTGTAAAGCAGTCTGTATGAATTAGCACCAGCTCAGTGCTAACAGCTCCACCGCTTCCAACAGATCAAGGGTTTTAGCAGAAGAGGTTGGGTCCCGGCCTTCAGATTCACCCAGTTTCCATACGGAACTGTGACGAACTGATCTTCAAACCGCCAAGAAGACAGACAGTCCTCCATGAGGGGCTTTTTTTTTTGGGGGGGGGGGGGGGGCGCATTCATTGCCCCAAAACACTTCGGCCCTGGTGGACCGAAATTGGCTCGGTCGTCCCGGTCGACTGGTCGCGTGAGCGGAGGTCACAGTGGATGGCTTGAGTGGGCCCATGGCCCACTTCTCCGCCGCAGCGGGATGGTCACTCCAAGAGCTGCGTGAGGCGACCGGCCCGGGCTCAGGTTTGGAGTCCAATCTGCCCCTTTCACAAGTGAGCAAGTCTTCCCCTTCAGAAAAACAGAGTTATATAACATATCAAATCTGGGACAGATCACACATGAATACAACATCAAACAACATAATACAGACCAATCCGCTGACCCTCCTGGAAGCTTTTCTGCACCTTGTGCCTCCCAGGCGATTCACGTAGCCACGTCCATCCCGCCGAGCCAGCAGCGCTTGCTGCATGGATGCAGATCCTTGGATGATGCCACTCGGCAGACCGGTCTGCGTGTGCTCCGTCTTCCCAACGTGTGCTCTCAATGTCTATGCTCCTGCTTTTGCTCTCATGTGGTGTGCTCTGATATAAATGGCTTGCTCACGTCTCTCGCGTTTTTTCAGTCTCTCATATGCTCTCGACGCCACGGCGCGACTGGAGACGCCACTCTCCGCTCCGTCGCCCGTCCTGGCGCCCCGCGGGTAGGCGTAGACGGAAGGTTTCCTTGCTCGCCGATTCGACGTCCATTTGGTCGTCTTGGTCTTGTTGACTCAAAGGACTCAAAGGTGGCATCTATGTGTCCCCGTCGCTCGCGTGCATCGCTCCGGTTCTCGACAAATCACAGGAACAACTCGACACTGCTGAGCAAACTGTCCGTGTCCTGCTCGTAGCTACGCAGCCACAACAAATCAGGCTTGGATTGCTTTGCTTTCATGCGCGTGTTCTCACGCATTTTCATTTGCTTTTGCTTTTTCTCTCATATGCGTGTTCTCACGTGTGTGCCCTTTTAGATTTGCTCCAGTTTGTGCTCTCTCAATGTGTATGTGCACTCATGCCAGTGCTCAGTGCTCTCATAGGTTTGCTATATGATTATATGTGTGACTCATGTATGTGCTCTCATGTGTGTGTGCTCATATGTGTGCATATGTTTGCTGTCATATGTGTGCAGTGCTCTCATGTATGTGCTCTCTCACATTTTTGCTCTAATGTGTTTGCTTGCATGTAGCGAATGCAAAAAGTCCGCCAGTTCCTGTGTGTGCTTGCGTTGTCTCAGAGCTGTTGAACCGGTCCCTCGCCGGGATAGTTTCCAATCAAACCGGCATTCCGGACCGACCCAGGTTCCTCCCTCGGCCGCCAGGAGCGGATGAGTCTGGGAAGCCTTGGGGAGGAGCACATCTCACTGACCTTGGTGCTGAGGACCTTGGACCAGGCCGTGGGCCCGTGTGACCGAGCGGAACTGGTCGGAGATGTCCTTGTCACGAAACACATCCGACATTCTGATTGGGTTTGGCTGGACCAGCAAGGGCAATGTAGTATATTTCATTTTCTTTCAAGGTATGTGATAGAATGAATGATTGAAAGAGTTAAAGGAACACCATTGTATTGTTCCACTTGCGGTTTTCAAACAGGTGGAGGTTACATTCAGGAACTCTTCCCGCCAGCAGCTGGCCTGCAAGGCCAAAGTCTTAGAAGCTGTGGCTTCAGGGGAGCCTTTGAAACCTATCTTGGCGGCGGCCTTAGTCCACACATGTCCACACCAATGAAGGACTTGCCTACGGGCTCCATTGGCTCCATGGGCAAAAATGCTGGGTGCAGGTGTTGGGATGAACTGATGCAGAAACAACCCCCCAAGAGGTCTTAAGATGAAGTAGCTTCCACTCAATTGCCAACAACACCTCAATGTCAGGGCGCTTCTCCCAATTTCCCTCCAATACATGCAATTCTGACAGACATGATCCTAGAGTATCAAGACTCAAGACGGCTTTGTGAAGCAAGGGGAAGGCAGGATCACGGGCGTTCAGTGGTTCCAGCACTGCCGGGTTCTCGCCAGCCATTCAGTCTCAGGAAGCTGCAGCCCCCGAAGTGCGAAGCGACAAGGTGCAGTGGCGCGACAAGGGAGGAACCCCAAGAAGAAAAGCAGCTTTTAAGTGGGTCTCAGCATAGATGACAGGTTTCTTGCACAAACACTTCTTGTATGGTGCAGTCAGAGCCCCCATCCCAACCAGTTTGACTCTAGAAGTTAGAAGTTGGCCAGGGTGCACAACCATTCCCTTGCCCCTGTTTGTTCTTCGGGTTTCCAGGTGGAGTAGTTGGAGGGACCCTGAGAATTAACATCATTTCGGCCCAACACCATGCCAAACGAAGAAGAGGAAGAAGAAGAAGAAGAAGAGCCCAGTTAACCACGGTCCTCCATCCTTCATCCTTTTCAGATCAGACAGGCTTTTGGTTGACCAGTTCCGGTCTTCAGCTGGAGGGTATTGACATGTTTTCACCAGGGATGAGCCAGTCCGCCCAGAGCAGGCGGTTATGATGGCGGTGGTGCAGCGGGATGGCTTGCTGCTGCGCCTGGCGGATGAGATGCTCAAGGACGGTGTGAGCGGCGGTGGACACGTGCCGTGACGCCCAGAAAGGACATGCACCAGACTCGACACTGGACACACTATTTTTAGCCTTGCCCTGGTGGATTCGAGATACACACGATTCCAGTTCAAGAGCGGGCATCCTATGCATATCAATGTATATCATATATATCACATATGAGCAGGCATCCCATATCATAGAACATCAAACACTTGAGTCACTTGACACATGTTTAAAACCACCGCCATGTAAATGTAGATGTGTTATGATATACCGACCATTTTTCCACTTCTGTTTTATCATATCGCGTATGGAATTCTTGCACCTCATCGCTTGCATTTGATGACTCCCTCGGCCCCAGGCTGATGAGGACCTGGCCTTCGCGGCCGCCCGGCAAAACCGCGTGGCGCTGCGCTTCGCTGCCGAGGCCCTGAGGCGAGCTCCTTTCGGGGAGACACCATGGGCCCATTTGAGGGGGAGTCCATGGACTTCCCCCTGGCTAGAGTCCCATGAAACTACAAATCACAGGAAGTTTGATGATGACCCAGTCACACCTCGGTATCTCTCAGTGAGATGTGACCCAGTTAGATGACACAGGAATATGGCGCAGTGAGATGTGATCCCTACACTTTGAAGTCTTTGAGATGGTCAAGGGGCAGGGAAAGCTAAGGGGGTCACAGATCCTCTGATACAAGGGATGGTTAATAATGTCTCCTTCTTGGATCAACTGCAAGGGATAGTTCAGAAAGCATCCCTGCAAGGCAGGGTCCCGCCATCTAAATCCTGATGAATCAACCAGCACAGTGACCAGGCCAGCTTTGAGCCCCATCAACGAGTGTCAATGCCAGGTCTAACAGGGACTTCATGGGCCGCGTGCTGCAACAACAGGGCCGAGCCTTGCAATTTGCATCGCACGACTTGCGCCGCGATCCTGCTCTGGTCTTGCCACTTGTCTGAAATGCTTGGGCAATACGTAGCTTGCGTTCTATAGTAGAATCAGTGGAATCGCTGGTCCAGTCGGATAATGCAGTTGAGACATGTTGACACCTACGTTTCAGACATGCCCGTTCCTCCTGCAGTCACCCCCGACACGTGAAGCTCTCCAATTTCAGGCTGGCATCGGAGGACTGGCCTGGATCGGCGTGACTCGTTTTTTTTGTTCTTTGAAGTCTGAAGGAATCTGAAGTGAATCTGAATTTTCACAAGCACGCTTGGGATCAACTTGGTTTCAAGGCTTGGGTTCAATGCTCTTGCTCTCTTGCAATGCTCCTCCATGTTCTGCATCTGGTGCCAGCGCACTGTACAAGCTTCTGGTTTGTTCCCTCGGTCCCTTATTGATTTACATAGGAAACCCTCAACGATCCTCAATAATTGACTTGAAGGCAACTAATTTTTAATCTGATCGTGCGCTACCCAAACCTGAAGTTATTGGTTGCCAACGTGGCCAACCTCTTGCTTTGCGAGTCGTTTTCCTTCGTCATCGCCCCCAACCGGATGATGTTTGGGGCTTAAGCTTGGTGGTTGCCGTTTGTCACCCCTGAGAGGAGGACTGCTTCGCCTTGAGCTTTGCGGATCCCGCGTTGCTGGCGGAGAAGAGCTTCTTGTGGCTCGCACTGGTTGAAAGGAAAGGGCTAGCTGCTGAGACCCTTATTGGGGCATCACCACCCCCTTAGGCACTGAAAACAGGGGGGGACCAGGGGGGGAACTTTTTATTGTAACTTACTTCTTCGGGGGTGATAAATATAACTTACACGCCCCTGGTCCAGTTTCAGGCCTTTTTGGGGGGGGGTAGGGGGGGTTGGACCTTGCTCACGTAGCCAGCAACATCAAGCAAAGGCATAGAAGGTTGCTTCATTTTGTTTCTGTGAAAGCTTCAAAGTTACATTTTGACCCCCTCCCCCCAAAAACACATGCGCGGACTGGAGATCTCTGGAAGATCCCTGGGGAAATTGGGGGAAACACTCATAGAAGAGACGCAGAAAAACACATGGGGGGGGGGCGTGAAAACATGTAACTTACATTTATTGACGTCCAGGTCCCCCCCTCTTTTTATAGAATGAACCATGTAACTTAGGGAGGTTGGACGTCTTCTTTCAGAAGGCCAAAGCAGCAAAAACCCAAATGCTGCTTGCTTTTGACAATACATAAATGTAACATGCAGAAAGCAGGCTTGAAAATGCATGGCCACCATAGCATTTCAGCCAAGCGTGCGACCCTGTGACAAGCTCCGCACTCGACGGCAATGATTGAGGGCACCGGCAAATCTAGAGAAACAACATCTAGAAAGAAGATAAGCCTTAAGAAGGACATACTTAAGAGAACATGTAAGCTGGGAACCTGGGAGAAGCCAAAATTAGGGAGAGCACCAGCAAACCTAGAGAAACACCAGCTACAGCTAGAAAGAAGATAAGTCTTAAGAAGGACATACCAACTTTAAAGAGAAACTGTAAGCTGAGAACCTTGGATGAGGCAAAATTGGGCACCAGCAAATCAAGAGAAACAACCGGTAGAAAGAAGATAAGCCTTAAGAAGGACATACCTGAAACTAAAATGTAAGTTGGGAACCTGGGGGAAGCCAACATTGGGGAGAGCACCAGCAAACCTAGAGAAACAGCAGCTACAGCTAGAAAGAAGATAAGCCTTCAGAAGGACATTCCTACTTTACAGAGAAAATGTAAGCTGAGAACCTGGGATAAGCAAAACATGTGGAGGGCACCAGCAAATCTAGAGAAACAACAGCTAGAAAGACGATAAACCTTAATAAGGATATACCTACTTTAAAGAGAAAATGTAAGCTGAGAACCTTGGATGAGGCAAAATTGGGCGCCAGCAAATCTAGAGAAACAACAGCTGGAAAGAAGATAAGCCTTAAGAAGGACATACCTGAAAAGCAACTGTAATTACGCTGGGAGCCAGGGACAAACCAAAACTGGCGAGAGCGCTAGCAAAAGCTTGCGAAATCAGTTCCGTCCGCCAAAGCTGGCTAACGTGTTTTTCCTCAAAATTTCCAGAACGCAAGTCGCGAAAGTGTTGCGAAAGGAACTTGCGAAAGAAGAGCCCGTTAGAACAAGTTCCCCATAGGTTTTGAGCAATGCTCACATGATCTCACATGTTTGTGCAATCTGTGCATGCTTTCCCGTACGTCCCCTAATTGTAACTTACATTTTTCTTGATAATGTAACTTACATGTCTGTTGAGGTCATTTCAGGCATGTTGGCACCAGAAAAATGTAATATTACATTTTCTACGTCTTGCCAGGAAAATGTTAGATTACATTTTCCAGGTACCAACCTATGGAAAATGATGGAAAATGTAAGTTACAATAAAAAGGTCCCCCCCCATCATGGGGGTGGGGATATTGGGGCCCTGCCGCTGGTGGTGGTGAAAAGATGCCTCTCATATCCAAAGCCATGAAATAAGCCGATGGTTGAAGGAAGATATCCATAAAAACCACCTCAAGGGCACTCTTGTGCCACTTCCTGTGTTAGAAGGCGATGGGTTTCCGACCTTTCGGACAGGTCCTTTCCGACGTTGCCGCCCAGGCAGAAGCTCATGGACCGTCAGAGGCCGAGCCACGCCTCTCAAGCGCTGCAGTTCGCGGCCCCGGCCCTGCAAAGGGACCAGGACCTCCAAAGACTCTCGGCGGCCGCTCGCGCCCGGTGCGCGCCATGCGCACCAGACCGCGGTGGTAAAAAAAAAAAGATAGACCGTACACTGGAAAAAGGTTTCGTGGATAGAGCCACGGGTCCGGCCTGCGCTCGGACAAAAAGGGAACGGTTGCGTGCGGGTCGGTGGCCGTGTTCTTTTTGGGTGGCACTGCAGGGAGTGGTGCAGGCAAGGTAACCCAGAGTGTCGGAGAAGTCCAGTGCTCATTGCTAATTTTGGTTGTAGTTGATTCTAGTGTCGCACTAGTTGGAAATTGTAGCAAATATCACAGACTATCAGGAAACCTGAATTTGCACAGCATCGGAAGAGGCATCATGGACACCATTTGGAGATGTAGTGCCATAGTTTTGGGGTGTTTAGAGATGTTTGATTCAACCACGTTGATGCCCTCCTTTCCAACGCTGACTCTAATACAGTCTTGCCAAAAGTGAACAGGCTCCTCACTAGTGACAGTTGCCTTGTGGGAGGCCAGCCTAGAGGCAGTGGCAAACGCATCCTCGTGGCTACAGAGCAAGGCCTGGCTAAGCGGGGTGCTTGCCCGGGCGGCATGGTTGACCATGGTTCATTGATCTCGGCTCATTTCCTTAGGAAAGAGGTGGACGAAGGTCAAGATGGTCAATGATTGACTGCTAGGGTCCAACAAGCCAGCTCCAAGGGCAGCTTTTGATTTTTGGATTTTACAGTCTTATAAGTGGCAATCGTTTGGGCTCCCCGTATGACCCACCCTTATGTAGGAGACGCGCAATCAGATTTACACTAGACGGCCCAGCTGGAACTATCTATTTATCAGACTGTTCGCCTCTCGATCTTTTTCTCCCCAATCATCCCTTGTTACAAAGTTCTTTCTCTTTCTTTAATACACCTCACTGGACTTTCTCCTGGTCGGTGGATAGCATGCAAGTTGCTTGGGCCAACGAAGCAGTCGATGAGGAAGGGACTACAGGAACCCGGGCCCTGCTACTTGCGACAAGGGCAGGAGCCTTTCTAGACCACTTCGCTTCACTCGAAACTCCACGTAAACCGTGCGGTGAACATACCAGGCTCCTCAGACCGGTGCGCGCGCGCCTTTTTTGCGAAAACACCGCGCGTGGATGGCCCTCAGGTTGAGGAGCTTTGTCCTTCATTGCCCCTTCCGGAGCGACACCCTGCGATGTCCAGATTGGAGAGGTGCCCATGGGGACCCAACGCGACATAGATACGTGAGGGGTGGGATAGCTGCTCGAAGGTCGAGACGAAGTCAGGATTGAAGTTGAAATATGCATCAGCCAGGTGGATGGAGACGGGTACACATTTCACATTTTGCAATGAAGGAGATCCAAAAGATCTAGGAGAGCACCCATCTGAAAATCATGCCGGACAGTTCTCATGTGTTGAAGGCTCAGCAGACTTTGCCACTGAACTTGCCAGGCAACATCGCGTAAAGGTCCTGCAGGACTATCTTCACCATCAGCCACACCAGTGCCGTGTGCTTCGGTTTCAGGCCAACCCCCCTCGCTGGCGACCGGGTGTGGATTGAAGACCACTAGAAATCGCGGTGTAGGTCATCTAGGTGTGCAGAGAGTCTGGGTGTCCTTTCACCATCGCGAACTGTGGTGACTCGTGACCGAATGACCTCCGCCCTGGGCATCCTTGCGCCACGAGAAGGTGGCACAAGCCGTGAAGTCTGCCGTGGAGGCGGAGAAGACTCTGTATGAGGCAGCCTACAGGAGAGGATGAAGATGTTAGTCCACAATGTGCTAGAGAACCAATGCAGACAGCCTGCCAAACTCCCTCCTTTTCTGGCCTTTCACTAGAAAGAACGAAGGAGAACTTTCTGGCTTCCAGGTGTATAAATGTCACCCCTCATGGTGATGCGTTTGGGGAATTCATACGAATTCCATGCTCCCCGTCCTCCCCCCAGATTGACGCATTGGGTCCCAAATCTTGGTCAAACGACCAGTGGGGTTGTTAAAACTGCCCGACAGGTCTCCAGGTCTCGCGGGAAAGGACGAGCACGTCCAGCATGTGGGGTCTTTGAGGTCCATGAATCCCGTGGCGGCCATAGAAAGAAATCGGATAACTTTCGACTCTCTATCTCTACCTCTCTCTCTCTCTCTGTCTCGGCCATTTTTTTTTCTCCTTCTTCTTCATTTTGGTCACAGGAGCGGTCTGGCCGCCAATGCTGCGATGCAGGCGAGGAGGATTCTGCCTCTGGTGTAGCTTGCGAGGCTGCGGTCTCGCTCAGGGAGTTCAGTCTGTTCAGCAGGATGACTCACTTGCGCAAGCTTTCAAGCTATAGGTGAAAGTCAAGGATGTTCCAGGCCTCCAAGCTTCGCATGATCCGAATCCTTAGTGCCAGGCTGCTTTGAATCCTGCACTGGCTTTTCCTCCTTACCAAGGCTGGAGGGTTGATGTGCTGGAACGCTTGAAAGACTGAAGCAATGTGGCAACAGCAAGTGCCCTTTGCAGTTCGGACCACTAGCGAAAAGATGCACAAGTGTTTCTTTTTTCTCTGGGGGCTGAGACTTCTTTGATTGGCAGGGATTTTTTGGCACCTTGTCTAATGACGACTTTGGTCATTCATGCGGCATGCAAATTGTGGCAGGTGAGCCCTTCCTAGCGTCAGCAGATCATGTGAGCCGGGGCCTCTGTAGCCTGTGCCTGGCGCCCCACGATTCACATGGAATCCTCCAAAGCAGTTCAAGCAGGAGGAGCGCCGTGTTTGCACTTCGCAAGGTACAAAGGACGTGGAGGCAGGTGAGCCGGAGAAAGGCCTACCTGTTTGCCACATGACCTGCCATCACTTGGGTGGAGAGTGCCTTGATTGCAGTGCCAAGACGATAGCGAAGATTCTTTGAGAGCCCCATCATCCATCATCCCACACTCTTCCATTTCAAAGTGGGTCCAGGAACTGCCTTCAAGGAGGAAACCTTCGTCTACAGTGTCCTTTGACTTCCTCTGTCAACCGAAGGAACGAAAGCCAAAGGAAATCAGAAGGGCATACAGTATTGTTGATTTTCTCAGGTGACACACAAAGAAACCCAAATGAGAATGACATGAATTGAATAGGAACCTCAGTCAGTCAGTCAGTCAGTCAGTGGTTCTACGGTGAATTCTACCCCATTCACAACCAAGTCGGACCATGAGTCGCTTGGACTACGCCCATCTTTTGGATCTGCTTTTTCGGTCCTGTGACGGCCAAAGCCAGAGCTTTTCCATCATCCGAGCTGGGAGGGTGTCATGGCCAAACAGGACAAGCAGTAAGTTGCATGGTCAAAGCATGACAATCCTACTGTACATGTCTTCATGGATCCATCAGACTGCATGAGAAGTTCTCAAAGCATGTACTCTCACATGTGACCTCACACACAGTTCTATTGAGAGTTCTGTCTAGAGCTGCTCTGAGCTGCTCAGCTGCTTGCAGCAATTCAGGTGGACCAGGGATGCCTCCTGGCCCTTCACTGAGAAAGCCACTGCCTTCTTGATGCTCTGACCAGTTTGGCCGGGCGGCAGTCAAAAGCGGAATCGAGATGTCGTGGCTGTGATGCGGCTCTGTGCTAAGGGCAGGGGTGGCAGTTCATGTCATTACTTTTGCGATGAACCTCAGCGCACCCAAAAAGGCTCCACAGAGCCCCACAGGTACAGTCTTGTTCTTCTGCCACGATTTGCAGCAGCTGTGTTCAGTGTTGGACTTTACCACCTCACATGCCAGAAGACAAACGAAGCGGTATGATAGTTCTAGTAGATGAGAAAGGGCGAACCTTTGGGCCAGCAAGCTGCTTGAAATGGGAATGCTCGCAACAGGAGACCCCAAGGCCATTCTTTGCAGCATCTAGATCAAAAGAAACAAAGAACGGGATCAAAACAAACATAATCCTGAGTAGGTCCCCTGGTCCATTGGTCCCTTTCCTGGTCCTTGTCCTGCATCGATTCCGGGAACCCCACACCCAACGACCACCCCGCGTCATATATAAGAACTTTCATCAGACTCCTACAGCACCACCTGCGCACTTTAGGGATCCACTTCCATGATTTTCCATGAATTTCGTGTCAGGGCACGCTCGTGATACCAAGCGTTTAGACTGGGGTGAGCGCAGTCAGTTGCCGCAATCATTCGACGGGGTTCCTGTGATGACAAGCAGAGGATGCCAGTGCACACGCACACCAAGAGTAGATGCATTGATCCTGGTGTGTTTGCGACGTTCGGAGGCCAAAAGGCAGGGGCCGGCCGAGTGCAATGGCCGCAGGGATCCAGGGCTCAAGGTCATGGATCTTGATTTGTCAAGATGGATGCATCACCCAGCGCTTCACCACTCGAAAGCAGCAGCGACGACGAGTCCGGCCAGCCAGTTCTCACACTGGTCCCGGCCCGGTGGTGGGAAGGCGACCTTATGTAGGCAGGTTTTGGAATTTCGACTTGGCCATTTCAGGCCAACCCACCCATTATATCACTGTACAGGGGGGCGCAGGGAGGCAGTTCAGTAGATGCGAAAGGATGCGGCAAAAAGGAAACTGCAGAAAGATGCGGCATCGCTTTGAGATGCCGAGCTGCAGAGACCCTTTCGTCCTTGCAAGGGGTTTTCGGAGGTTTTGTGTCCTGAAGAGACCTTGAGGATGAGCCCTCGAGGGGTTCGGAGCTCTTTTGGGGTCGATGTTGGTATTCTGCACTGGCCTTTGTTTTCTCGTTGGGCGTGCTCCGCAAGCTTCTGCAATGCATGGTTGCATTGACTAGGCGCAGGATTGTGCACACGGCTTTCCCAGCTAGAGAACCTTACAGTCTCCCACCCACTGGAGTCCCAAGAGCCCTGCAGCTTCCAGGGTCCTAACATGCTGTCTCCGAGGCCACAGCGATGTGCAATTCTAAGAGGCCACAAGATCTTCTACGTCATTGCGTCCTGGCATTGCTTGGGACAATCTGAACGGCCTTAGGATCTTTGGCCGCCCTTTTGGGCTGGCTATCGGTATCTAACAGGCGTCAGCGGCGTCAGATATAATTTGCACATTATTTGGCAGGGCTTCAGAGGCCTTGTTCTTGAAAGATGCTTTCGAAAGCGGAAGTGCTGAACTGGCCTAGAGCAGTCGCTTCATCTCCGAACGATCCCCAATGGTACACTCCGACTCACTAACGACCCATTCAGATCCGCTAAGACCCGGTGACCCTGTGCTTCCGTGTTGGAGCGTTGTTCACGACGTGTTCCTACGGAAAAGGTGTTGAGGTGCCATCTATGATGTGACCAGGGGGGGTTCATGGTCCCGAGTTCGATGACGAGTCGAGGCCACAGTTGCAGCAGTCCTGCTTTATGTGGTGGGGGTTATGCCTAACAGAAAGGCGGAGGCCGGGCAGTCGGAACCGGCCGAGATTGACCTCTCGTGACGCCAACGGATGGACCTCTTGGCGTGGATAGTGACGCCGCATTCCGCTCCGTTCAATCCGGTTGGATCCAGAAACCAGACACGCAAAGACCCCACCTGCACTCACAGGGTTTGCTTGCCCCTGGGTTATACGTGCATATATTGACATCTTTTGAACAATGATCAGAATGCGCACGAGACTCACAGTAGCGTCACAAAGAATGTATGAAGCAGCAAAAAACAAAGGGTGAAACACGCTAGCCCGCTTTTAGTACGAGAAGTAAACCAAGTTGTGTGTTTTCGACTCTTCACATGGGCTTGAAGTAGTGTGTCCTGCCACACTTCCTGCCACATAGGTCTTCTCAAGAGAACAACTCGCACAGAAACCGCGCAAAAGTACTGCAAGGCAGAAGGTAAAGTCCTTTTTTCCAGTTGATAAAAGCCAATGGCCCAAACTGCTAGAGACGGTGCCTTCACATTGAGAGCTCGCGGGGATATGCCCACAACATGGGATCGGCAATGACGATCAACACCGAGACCTCGCCAAGGAAATCTACGCTCGAGGGCATCTGAAGGGGGCTTGTAAGTTTGCAATACTACTCATGGAGGCACAGGACAACTCTACTTTTTTGGAAGATGTCCTGTCACACTCTGGTAACAGAGTCATTATCGCGTGAGTCGCCTCGAGTGTACCCCGCTCCATCAACCTATGTCGGTTCCGCAGAATCTGGGAGGTGGCTGTGGTAGGCGTGGTGTCGAACATGCATGAAATGCCTCAATGAATGGTCAATGATCCCTAGAATATACTTATACACCCGCTATCTGGGGTCTATGCCGGCGTAATTTTGGGTTTGTAATTTCATAACCCAGACAGTCCATGGGACTGCCATATATGCTTAAATTGACCCCCCTGGCACCACCCCAACTGATCGGCATATATGGCAGTCCCATGGAGTGTCTGGGTAATATTTCATACACATCGCCGAATTCCACGCGGCCTCCGCTTCCTCCGCAGGCCGAGAGCCCCGACCTGGTGAGGAAGCCGCTGGCGCTGGGGGAGATCGAGATGTGCCTCGGAAAAGGAACGGACGGGTGGAGACCGGCAGGGCAACGTAGTATTTAAAGGCTTGGCAAGGCTTAATATGTTATTTGTTTTGATTTTGTTTTGTGATGAGTGTGGAGGTAAGGTCAACATTGCCAAGACCAGGTGGGTGGACACTTCGCCATTTGCTGCTTCATGCGGTGCTTGCATGCCCTCCACTGGCCGCCTCTCCACGAGGTCAGACACTGCGGTCCTCTCCACTCGCCCGCCCGAGCCAGAGGACGTTAGAGATGGGAACGGAGAAGCCAAAGATGGAAGAACTGTTTTACAGATCCTGTGTTTTTTTTGAAGGTTTTTTTGACATAGAGTCCGGCTGGTAGGACTACGAATGCCTGACATGAGCGACTATAGGGTAAATCTGCACGGATGATTGGCACTGTAGCCCAAGCAGCAATTCACCAAAGAGACTTGAATACTGTCCGCTACTTTGCCGCAGAGAAGTTTCACAGGGCTCAGTCTTGCGGAAGATGACCGCTTCCGGTTTCTAGTTTGCATTGTATCCTTTGGCTCAATGATGGGAGGTCAAAGAAGACCAATTTTCAGGTCAAAGACATTCCAACAAGACGGCCATTGCAAGTTGCACACCTCATTCCTCCATTCTCCATGCTCTACAGCTGCTTTCATGCTCTCCCCGCTGCAAGTCGATTCTTCCCCCCTGCTTCCTCTCGATCCATTTCCGGCACCGCGGTGCCGGTGAGCACCGGCCATGGATGGAGAGCAAATCTCAGCCGTCACGATGGAGTGGAAGGTACTCAAGGCCAGGATGCCCAAATAAAACATCATATAAATTCCTCACAAAGATGCCCAACTCATACATGTCATACTCATACCCCAGACTAGAATCCAAATCTGAGCTCATGAGCCAAGCTCAGCTTACGTGACGAGCACGAGGAGCGCTTCTTCGCGGGAGAGCCGGTGGATCCCGTCTTCGAGGGCATCGTCAAAGACTTCATCTCCTTCGACGTGACGCTCCAGGCTGGCTGGGAGGGTGGAGGGTATTCAGAGGGCTCGGCTGGCTGGGAGAATTCTGAAACTGTGTGCCTCAACGATATCTTAAATGGGATGAAGGAACTTAAGCAGGAAAAGTAAGTAGTTTCATGTAGTGTCAGCTTTGAGGTCAAGAAGTGAGTGCCTGTACTGCCCGCTCATGGTTGTGTGTTGACTTCGTCATGACGGATTCGGGGGACACAGCCAGGACATCTTCAAGAAGGTGGAGGTCTTCATGAAAGGTGTCGACAGCTTGGCAGAGGGTCTCGTGGTCTTGGCGGAGAGCACCACCACCGGGCTGGCGTCGGTGGACGACTCCCTGATCAAGGCGGACTGTTGCAAGATGAAGGAGGCTGGTGCTGGCCGTGGCACGGGTATCTTAACCGGTTAGAAGGCTTGGCGAGGGGCTCATGGCTTCCTCATGGTCCAGACTCATGGTGACACTGTAGGGGATAGACTAGACGAATAGAGATGACAAGGTGAGGTCGACAGTCAGATCTCGAGGCCACCAATGCCATTACGCGTGCAGATGCTCCCCATAGCGCCATCGCCAAGCTCAGACGCGACATGGACTTCAACATTATGAGCCCTGGAGTTCATTTAACCACAGACTGGTGGTGCCAGGGTTCCATAAACTATTCATTTTCCTGGGGCAAGTTGCCAAGTGTTCGGCCTTTTTGATTATATAATGTATATTAATGTGATTTAATGTGATAAATACAGCTAAAGCGCTCCCCCAAACTAAAACTGTTGGCGGATATGTTCCTGTCCAGCAACGATAGACCGAACCGCAACAATAAACCTCGGAATTAAGTTCAAAAGAGCCAAAAAGCAAATGAAGGAGTTGAAAGGTAGATTGACCCCACTGCGCGGGTATCACTTTACCACAAACAGACGAAGACGAATTCCACAGACGCACTTTGCAAATTCGCTCAACGAAGCCGAATTGCTCCCCCGAGTAGACGAATTCCGAAGACGAATGCCACGAAGACGAGTTGCTCCCCCGAAGACAAGGGCTTCTGAAGGCATTCGCTGTGACTTCAAATTATTCAAAGTGGAATAGACTTGCAGGTGCCCAATTTGGATGGCAAGGCATGGCGATTCCTCCGCAACGATCTTCAACATGGCATTGTGCCAGACCAGTCCTTTCCATCTCCGCAAGGACTACGTGGTTTTGTCGCTACAGAAGCAGCACGATGGCTCGACCTATGGGACTTGGGCCGACCTCCTGGCTGCGGCAGGATGCAAGCGACGTCGTGGAGGCGTAGGGAGCCCAGACTACATCCGAAACTGCCTGGGCTCTCGGCCAAGATGGCGACGAGAAGCTGACGATGGTAGTGAGGCAGTCGATCGACAAGGCGCAGGATGGCTTGAGTAGCAAGAGTTGAGCCTGACAGACCTGAGGTTCCTGACACTTCTGCTCCATCTGCGCGGCAGGGGCCCAATCCCACGGTCTTAGCAGACCTGTTGGAAAGCCAGGCGGCTTTACTTCGCGGGTACAGGCGCTAGAGATCCGCCTACCTTCAAGACAGGGCTCATAGACTCTTCCGGCCGCTGTGTCTAAAAAGCTGTCAGGTTTGAGCGTGCAGAGCAGACATAGTTGATTGAGGCTTTGTTGGGCCATCTGTCGCGCAGGGACTAATATGGAAAGGTAGACTTTTTTGGAAATTACATTATATTCTGGAACACATGGCGGGACACCCTGCAGAACACTTGGCGGGACGCTGGCGGAACACTCTTGGCGGGACAGCGACTGGATGCTTGCCCACCAAAATGTTTTGATGGTGCCACAGTGATCGGGAGCAGAGTCGCATTGTTCCTTTCAAATGCACCATGAGCGAGTGGGGGCCCGAGTCGTGTTGCGCGTCCTTGCCTCGGCGCCGAGCAGCACTCTTCCGAGGCATTTGGGCCATAGAGGTCTTGTGCACGCCAGACGGCGCCGTGCCGGAGCTCGCCGGAGGCGACGGTGGAGGCCGTGGTGCGGGGCCCAAGAATACCGAAGCCAGAAGTGTTGTTCGGCGCGTGCAGGTCCAGGCCTGGCTGACTGTGCAAAGCGCACCCGCACGAGAAAGGGCCACGGCCGGAGACGCCGGAGGCGGGGAGGAATAACGCAGCGGCAACGAAAAGAGCGGGGCCCACGACAGGCCAAAACGCAGCGGCTCGCCGAAGAAAAAAGGGCAGCGAAAGAAGCGAAAACTGCCCAAAAGAAGGCCGAGGCCCGGGGCCGAGGTAGTAGACGAAAACGGCGCTTCGGCAGGAGGCCGCCGCAAAGGCGGCAGAAAAGAACCAGAGACGCCGTGAGGCCAGGAGCAGCGCGCGAGACGACTCTGACCCAGAGGCCGGCAGACTGACGTGACAGAAGGGTAGCCCAGAGCCTCTCTTGTGCGCAGGCTCAAGCGGACAGAGCGGAGAAGCTCGCTAAAGAGCGCGCCCGAAGACGGGCAAGCTACGCCGAGGAGAAGAGTGGGCGGGAGCACTTCGAGCGGATGACGCAGGGCGCTGTTGGCATGGCATGCAGACCCCATCCCACCTGATATTGACCTGCAACCCCCATGCACAAGCGGACACTGTTCTCCTAGGACCGGTTGCCAAGCCGCGGCTTCCGTGTTTGTTTTTTTTGCCGCTTGTGGGTGTTTGTGCCACTAGAGTCGGCCTCCAAGGCCGGGGGCATGGTTAGATGGGCTGGCTTTTGTTAACAAATTAACAAAATCAACATAATTAGATAATTTTCTTCAACTAGTTATGATTTTTTTAACTATATAGTTATGACATTAAATTTCTATTTTTGCAAAAAATTGACAACCACAAAATTAAGTTCAACCAAACAATATCAAACTAAAGGCCGCTAAATAGCAAAAAAAGCCAAACCAGGCTGAAAAAACACAAACTACAAGGTGTCAAACAAGAAAATACAAAAAAGGCATGCTGGTGCCTCTGCTGTAAACTGCATCCCTCAATTGGCAAATCTTTTCACTGCTCTTTGCCCAAATGTGTGGAGGTGTGAAACATATGAAGATGCCAGTATCACTTCTTTGTAGACCACAGGAGCTTCAAGCTGCTTGGCCTCCACAAAGCAAATGTGTTGGCTTTCCACACACTTGCCCACCATGAGCTCAGGAAGCTTCTCTCTCACAGTCATCTTTGCAAGCAAAACTCCTAAGTCATCACCAATCTGGATCAAGAGCTTCACTTGTCCCATTTGCAGAGAGCTGTCTGCCTGGTACAAGACAACATCCTTTTCAGTCACCACTGCACCATTGGAAAGCTTCATTTCCCTGCCCACCCAACAGATCTCACTTGCCAAGTACAAGCCATGAGCCTCCAACATAGCCAGTGCCTCTCTAGTAGGCCTCTTCATGTTGACAAGAAAATTGTCAGTCCTCGAAAGTGTTGTGCGATATTTTTTAAAGTTGCCTTTGCCGCAAGTAGGCGGTTGTTTTTTGGCTGTTTGCTTGTTTGCGCCATTGCTTCCTCAACCAATCTGAACAGTGACATCATACCAAGGACCGGCGTAAAGTGCTTTTCTTGCACCAAGGAGCACGCAAGGTTTTGGGCCTTGGCCCGTGTCAGGTTGAATTGCGACCAGCGCAAACCTCCCATGAATTCAAGAATGCTTGGCGGAGGGCCCAAAAATGTTCAGGGCAGCACTCCTTACGTCCTCAATGTGTGTGGCCTTCACTCCTAGCCTGCAAGGAAGTCAAACACTATGATGGTTTCAAGTTTCTGTGCTGCCGCCTCTGGTGAACGATTGCTTTAGAGCAAGGCTAAACATCCCCGTCGACATTTCCTCTATGAAATGGGTGGGCGTACGCCTCGTATATGGGCGATTTTTTGTAGAGAACCTATGTGGGTACTAAAGTAGACACCCTGCATTTTGTAAAAATCACTATGGTTCAGGAGCTGCAAGGCAATTGAGAGAACATGTATAGAGCCTGAGTGTCTTGACCCCCGCCCTTTCTATAGACTCAAATTTTGTGCCCGCAGATTTATATCTACAAAATGTTTTGCACAAGGTCTCCTTGGAATGTTAACGGGGATGGTTAAACCCTTTTACTCACCAGGCCTTTCTCTCGCGCAGTTAGTTTCTGTGATGAGACTGCGCGCGCGACGCACACACACATGACGCTTCGATCCTATATTTCTACGCTCCGTGCATTGCGCAGCCCGCTCCAAAGACAACGTGCTTCCAAGCTGCACAGAGACAGAGAATTGGGCCTCGGAGGGCACAGGGTTTGTGTTCAGTCCGTTCCTTAGTCACGAAGGCTTGCTTCACGAACAGCAGATACGATCCATTTAGCACAGGGGAGTGGCCAGCTCCAGCATTTCCGATTTGGCTCAGGCTCAAAATTTTCAACAAAGAGTTCTTTCGAGCCATCTAGGCTTTGTCGCAGGCATGGCCTTCACAACTCAATGTTAGGCCTAACACAGCCCCAGCACAGCCCCAAGGCGTATGATAGACCTATTTTGGCTCACAAAGACAGCCTCCTTGATGGCCATCTGGGGCTATGTTGGGCCCATGACAACAGTCGTTTTTCAAAAACGTCAAAATGAAATGTTTTTCAAAAAACATACCCCAAGCTAAACTTTCATTGCTGTTTGCAGATCTGATCGCCGCTTTCACGCAAGTGGAGTGTAATAGGCCTTGGGCAGCGTGGAGGCAAACCGCTGGTGCGGAGCGCAGAACTTGTGTGGAGTCGTTTCTGACTAAGCTATGTACAGCGCTAGAAGTCAAAGCCGCTTTTCTTTGTAAGAAGGCAATATTAGTGGAAGCGTGGAAAGGAGAGAGAGAGAGAGAGAGTCAGACCCATTGTCAGGAGGCCCGCATCTGAATTTTTGCTACTTTTGGGGGTGGGTGTCCAAGAGCAATGCGTCACCACTAGGCGTGGTCAGGAAGGAATGCGTCGTCAAGGAATGTGTCGTCGCAATGCGGCGTCACAGTTCACATGTCTCCAGGGAATGCGTGGCCGGAATGTGTCGTCAGCGTCACTACTAAAAGTATCTAAAAGTCATACCCCAAATGCGGGGTCTCTGGAAAGGCATATGGAAAGGCAGCAGTAAGATATAGAAAATATTTTTGGATCAGCTCACCGAAACTGAGGTACACTATTGGTGCATGTCGGCACTGGTCTTCAACCTATAGTTGCTGCTAACTTTCCGGAGGAAGTTCCCTAGCCAAGACTCTTTCAAATGGTCAAACATTTGTGTCAAACATTGAATAGTTGAATAGTGTATTGACGAATAAGAAATTCCATGGTAAGTGAGGCTTATAGAATTAATGTTGGCAATGGTTTATACGAATCTACATTTTTTGTGGTAGGGGGCCTGCTTTGCCCACACATCCTTATCTCGTTTTGTTAGGATTGTGTTGTGGAACACGGCGCCAGAAAAACCATAATTCAATGATGATTGCGCAGCCGAAGGTTACACGAAATAATCAATCAATTTTTGAGTCGTGCCCCATGGAAAAACTTATTACTATACAGCAGGAAGTGCAGTTTGTAAATGTAATTGCTGGTGAAATCCAATTACATTAGTATTGGGTTTGAGATCAAATGGCCCACTTATAGCAGTGTGTTTGACAACCGGGGGCCAAAAAACTTATAACCATTTCATTCTTGAGATCATTTTGAGATCCTATTTTGCCAGTAGTATTGGATCCCATTTTTTTAGTATTGCGTTTTTAATATTAGGTATAAATATAATGTTTAGGAGGGTCAATTCGCAGGAGTATTGTTGGATTCTTGCCGTTAAATATGTACTTTAATAGGGTCAGATTGTGGGATGGTTGATCCGAAAACATTGAACCCGTAACGTTTTGGAACCCAAAGGACTAGGGTATGTGCTTTTCCCCAATCCTGATGCCAAGGAATCCATTGAAGTGTCATGTGGTGAGCCTTGGAGATAAACGCAGATGATGACTTGTGATGCGTCAATCGCAGGGTAGAAGTGATGGAAGTGACATTTCGAGACAACCTAATAAATGATAGTAGATGTCTAGCAAATCCTTGATTTGAGTTTATAGCGGCAGGATTAAGGTCTTCATTGTTGAGGCACGTCTTAAGGTGTTGACAGCGGTCTTCTGGATTCACCAGTTGATGCGCCTGGTGAGGAACAACCGGACCATGAAGTCCAATCTCGAGAAGCGACGGCGTCGACTATTGGAGTACAACATCGCCAAGAGGGAGATGGATGATTGTGTGAAAAAGAACCTCAGATTCACGGGCGTTTTTTTTGTAGGTGTTCTTTGTAGGTGTTCTTTGTTGTTTTGTTTCCTAATTTCTGTCACATGGTTTTTCTCTAATGATATTTTTTGACGCTTGGCCGCTTGGCAGATGTTGTCATCCAGACCAGATGTAAAAAACGACCGCGCAAAAAAATACACAAATTTGTATTGATTGCACCAATTTTTGTGACCTTTGACATCCCGTGAGGAATTTACATCAGACGGACCGAAGGTACTTAGCTGCCCAATCGCAATTGGAGTCTGCCAAGTTGGCGTTCCATGAGGTGGACAAACACATCTTTGAATGGTTGTACATCCTCGAGGACCAGCGTTTTCGAGTGGGAGGGTCAAACCGAACTGTCCAGTTGCTGTTAGTTCTTTTTTTTGACATATGCATGTATTGATGTTTATATACAAATTGTACATTTCTATACACATATAAACACATACATACACCCTCATGGGCACAAAAAATGGTGGAGCACCAGAAAAAACTTGTAACAAGGAAAGACGAGGCCCTATTCTACCCTCTCTCAAACTAAGAAAGGTTCTCCTGAGCCATGTGGCTGTTGTTTTGTATGGGGGTTCAACCTGCTTGGAGTTTGAATTCCGGGACACTGTCAAGCCGGAGGTTAACAGCATGCACCTGAGTTCGGAAAGAATTGAATAGCTGGTGATATCTAGTGGGTTCACACAGACTTCCACCTCGTGAGGAATACAAAGGAGATATCTTGGACAGCTGCCTCCAGACCTTGAAGTACTTGCAGTACGAGTTCTTCGCGACTTCGGCGCACTCCATCAGCGGCGTGCTGCCCGCGCGCATGGAGTTCCGCCCCATGGTGGAGATGACCCCAGAGCACTTGGAAGCACAGGCGGCCGGCTCAGAAGCAGCAGTGGGCCAAGCGAACATCTTGCAACACATAGAAGTGCGTGCAACGAACCCCATAAACTGGCTTCCAAACTGAATCCGGTGTTGCAGCACCTTGCACCCAGCCGAATTTCTTCTTCCAACCAATGGCAGCATCACCGTAGGACCCAGGTTAGTGAATCTGATCAGTTTCGAGATCGATCTCTGACCAACTGCCTAGCTGGTGCTTCCTTTCCCATGGGAGGCCGTTCGGGTTTTTGTCTGTGATGCAGGAATGGCATGCCCAAAGAAATGTCCCCGGCCCCGACACCCATTGCCGCAGCCATGAAGAGGGTAAGAAGATAAACCAGCCGAAACAAAAGGCTAGTGAAAAAGACTTATATAGCAATAAATATATCTATCTATCTATCTATCTATCTATCTATATAACCATATATACACATGACATTCCGCAATTTTGGTGTGGTTTCCCCCTGCTCCACTTCCACACCGTGCCGATTCACCTGTCGCCCGCAGGTGGAAATGGCTTTGCAGGAGGCTGAGGAGATGGGCCCCGAGGAGACGGAGGTGGTGACCGACTTCTCTGCCCGGCTCATCGAGAAGTTGGCCAAAGACAATAAGAATAAGTCACGTGGATGCTGGGAAGAGGAAGGAAAGGGAAGGAAGGGAAGAGTTGGTCGTTTCTATTTTGGAAGGGAGGATTTGGGGTAAGGAAGGAAGAGCTTTATGAAAAACCAATAGAGGTGCAGATGTTGAAGAGACTGGGAAGGCAGAGATCCGAGACCCTGGCGTTCGGCCAGTCGATCCGTCGATCCGTCGAGGCCGGGAGAGGGCTTGGACTCCGCCGCCAGCGATGGTCCAGCCGTTCCAGTGGATCCCTTGTCACTCTCGTCTTTGTTGTCACAGGGCTTCGAGGAAGGCCCCGCACGACAAGCCTTGAGAAAGTTCAAGAACGACACCCAGGCAGCTTTGGCCAAGCAGGGTCTGGGAATGTGTAGATATGTGTAGTGTAGTGTAGTAGTTCAACTCCCTCCTCCATAGTTGGCTTCCTACAGCACGTGAAGAAGGTGAGAAAGGCCAACCCTAAGAAGGCAACAAGGTGGACCTGTTGATTGGTTTTGTAAAGGAAGACCGTCAAGGTACAGGTCCCGTTTTCGGGATCTATGTCAGTCTGGAGAGATGTACACGGTCACAACCCCGGCCCAGCCTGGGCTTCAGGCAGCCCTGGACTTCTTAATCGGTGGCGGGCATCCAGAGGAGGAGCAGGGTGGCCTTCATCTACTTGGTATTGCTGTATATCCAACACCCATTGAACCAACATTGAAGTTTCAAGTGGATCCACATCATCCTAGTGCTTTGATCAATTTCAGCATACGCATTCATGGAGGACGGTATACATAATATATTTGTTTCTTATTTATATATTTTACGGGTAATTAAAAATGTTACTTTTATTTTAGGATAACATGTCACAATAAGAGAGGAGACCAGGATGACATCATCTGTATTTACACCGGGGGGGGTCAGAGACTTGTGACATTTCTCAGGCCACCGACCACTCCTCCGCCCGCAGGAGCAGGAGGAGACGGTGCGAATGCCCACCACGGTCCGTCGGGTCCAGCGTCTCAAGGAACGTCGTCGAGCGCAGCAGGCGCGGCGTCGGGAAGAGGAGGAACGACGGCAGCGGGAGCGGCAAGCGGAGCACGGCTACTCGCCGAGTGCGTCGCCGTCCAAAGAGAAGCTTGGCGACCGGTGCCGACGGCAGTGCCGACGGCTTTGGGCGCAACAGTCGGGGTGTTGGGGAAATGCAGAGATCGACTGTGGAAGGTGTATTTGGGGGGTACGTGTGGATCAAGGCTCGCATGCATTCATGTTCTTCTATTTGCTGCCCACACTGCGCACTGCATGGATTCAGCGATGGGCCTCATTTCAATCAGCTAGATTGCACTGAACATGAAGTTTGAGTGGCCAAGTGTTGGGGCAACACCTCACTTTGGAGTTTATTTTTACGTTTTTTTTTCCCAGAGACTTGGTCGAATCAGCTTTACCTTTGGTTCGGTGTGTTGAAATCCAAGGACACCGAAAGAGCCCGTGAAAGAGACCAAGCCAGCTGTGGACTTGCTGGACTTTGAAGAGAAGGCTGCGAAGAGCCCCGGAGGCCCCAGCTCCTCGGGAGATCTATTGGATCTCATGAGCAGCCCCGGCCCCGGGGGGGCGCTGCCCTCCACCGGTGCAGCACCTGTCAAGAAGGACGACCTCTTGGATCTGGGCTTTGGAGAACCGCCGCCGCCCACAGACTTCACAAAGGAGGTGGCGACTTTACCACTTCCTGAGCAGATCACTTTAGACCTCTCCAAGTGCGAGAAGGGCCCCATTGGACCGTTTGGCTAGATGGCCGAAGACGGCTGGCCCATAGGTAAAGAATCAAAGGCACACTATGAATAAGTACTGTAGGTCCCAAAGTGTAAATATACACCGCAAAGACTCATGGTCCCTCAAACTGCTACATGTTTTAGGTTCAAAACCCTAGGTAAAAGGGTCCAATGAGCCTTTGGAATACACACAGTTATTTTTGGTGTTGAATCAGTTGGAGCGATCTGATTCGCGATGACGTTGGCAGTTTCCGGCCCTTTTAGCAGCTCCAAATGGAACTTAGCAGTTTGCACATTGTAAGAGTCGTCTTTGCGAGGGGTAGCTCAAAAAGATGCGGAGACCGGAGACCAGTTTGAAGGTGAAGAACCGTGCCTACCATTTGGAAGTTGGTTGTTGGCATCCCGTCATCAGGTGTTGAGACCATCTGATTTTTTGAGCAAGATGAACATCCACGGAGTCATTGGGAGGACTTGGACTTGAGAAGGGCCCCTCTTTTTCCACTGGAAACGATTATCGCCACCTTCTGTGGCAATGGTACAACCCCTGCCAACCACCTATCCCTCTCTCTCTCTCTCCCTGCCCCGATCGAACACAACAACAACAGAGACACATCCTGACCAATGTTGGACACGTGGATTAGACAATGCTAGACCTTTGGCAGCTGGGAACATGTATATAGGATTAGATATAGGTTTCTGCCACATGTTTGGAGCTGTGTAGGAGAAGTCTGCCTTCTTCCGGATGCTGCCAGAGCAGCTCCAAGATTGGTACTTCCAAGAGCCGCTTGGCGTTTTGCTCGGTGAGCAGGTTTGGCTCGGTGATGGGCTTGGTGTGGAGAGATGTCAAGTTGTTGTAAACATGGGAGTGTGTATCTAAGACCAGAGGTAGTTGATATTTCTATTGGGTTCTCTTCTGTGAGTATGGCACAATATGGCACAGTATAGTCTATAAGACTTGTGCCACCCATTATGAAGAGCAAAGCAAGTTCCATTCGATGGCGGAATGTCATCCGAGCAGCATCAGCATGTCAATGACGAATACCTCTTGGAGGCAGCAGTAGGGTGTGGGCCATAGGGACCCTGCCATAGGGATTTGTCATTGGCGGAACAGTTTCCACCCCTTGAAGTAGGTGAAACTCCTGCTTGGAGACATTCAGTTGCTCCGCTGAGAAATTGCAGACTCAACACACCCAACAAACTACAAAACTTCACTTTCATATGCCTCTTGCTCTTTCACTCCAATGGTCGTGCGCCACACAAGTGAGGAAGCGCGATCTGAAGCAGTCGCTTGGCCGCAGCTCGTCGCCCAAACCCTAGGCTCTTGGCCCGGTCGATAGTGCAGTCGATCTATTTGAATCACATGTTCGCCCTCAGGCAGATGCACAAGACAAAGGTGACCTATTACAAGAGTCCCCATCACTTGGTCCACACCGACGCGAACCAGTTCCTGAAGTCCCAACAGCCGGGCGAGTCGGACCCTCTACCGTCCCACACGCCTCCGGCGTCCAACGACTAGGTCCGCCGAGCGGACCGTGCAGTGGCGCGGCGCGCGCCGTAATTCGGGTCCGCGAAGGGGAGCCTGATTTGGGGCTGGAGGGCTGGCAGGGAGCGAAATGACATCGGACCAACCTTGCTGGGAGGATTTCGCATCACCCTCCAGGTTGCACAGATGGCTCCTTGACCCTTGTATTTCAATATGCTTTAGCCTCTTTGCATGTGCCATGTTGACTCATGGCTGTTTAGACCATCGGCCTAATCGGGCCGGGCATCGGAAACATGCCCAACAGCTGCACGAGGTAGACGGCACTCATGTCGAAACATGTCGAAACAGCATTTTGCAGTGCGTCTTTTTCGCGCAGACCTTTGGTGTACAGGGAAGTCAGCACGTTCCGTTTCGTTCATGCCAGGGGCGCCTCTGTTTGCCCGAACAATGCTTTGAAGTGTTCGACCCAGCGAAAACCTCAAGCACCATATACAACACGTATATTATTATACTATACTACAGACGGGAACCAGAGTGAGAGGACGATGCAGTTATTGAGAATGAGCACACCTTTCCTTGAACCTCTCCTTTCTCAACAGCGCCGCACCCGCTGGCGTGGCACCTCGCTGTCGCCGCGAAACGTCCCGCGGTGCTGCGATGAGCAATTTATAGGACGTGGTGGCGTGGTGCCGTGGTCGGTCTGGACTTCCCCACGGCTTGGGCCGATCCATGCCGAAAAACGCGTCAACTCCGCCCAATCTCACATAATTAGATAGTAAAGGTATGTAAAGGTTTGTAATGAAACAGTGACTGGTCTTCCGACATGTATGATCACATGTTGGAAAAAAGTTTCGACATTTTGTTCAATTTGCGCTCCCAAACACTGGGCATTTGGTTTCTATTGGTCCAATAAATCCACCTCCCGTCGCATGGATGACTCCAGGGCTGAGACCAAACAAAAGACACTCGTGCATCGCATGCATCTCTGGCAAGGTATGCTGCACAACTCCCATTTTGCTTGAAACAGCTTTGGAGGGGCCAGGCACCGCCGCATAGAATTCGCTGGTACTGAGACGCTCCAAGCCTTTCTTTGGCAAAAAGCCTCCCCCTTCAACCCGCTGGGTGATGAGAAAGTGAGGAGTGAAACGCCTGAAGCTATGCTTTTTGCACCACATGTTTTTCGCCTCTGGGTACGGCAAAAGGGTGAATATCTCAAGCGCTTCTAGAGGCAGGATGCTGCCTGGGATTTGGGGGCAAACATGGCTGTTTCCGGAAACCAGCTTGGCAATCTGTACAAGCTCACCACCTTGGCAAGGTTGTCCCCAACGTGGAAAGGAACCCCAGAAGTAATTAGTGACCCACTACTAATACTACCATGCACTATCATTTCAAGGCCTGGTGCGACCACTCCTTCGCCACTGTCATAAGGCACAGCTCGGCGCAGGTCCGTTTGACTTGACTGCGCTTGCGTTGAGAAAGTGCAGAGGGGCGCCACTGTACGTGTGGATGACTGTCCCTAGATGACCTTCACAAATTGCCCTCACCAGGGCATCACAGGAGATTGGCAAGCCTTAGTTCAGAACTGGAGCTACCTCTAGGAGCCTTGGTTGTGTTCTGTTCTGGGCCCTGGTGTTATTTTTCGTTGCTGGGGGGAATCTGCCCATGCCTTCGCGAGTGCAAGGGCAAGCTCAAGGATGGGCCATAGCCTATAGCGATTGGAGCAAGATTTGTTGGGGTCTCCTGATTTGTTGGAGGGCCTTTGCCCTGTCCTTTTGGCAGGTTGGAGGAGCAGCCCAGCAAGAGTTCGATGGGGGTTGTCTCAGGGTGTCGGGACCTATATAACCACTATATAGGCATCCCCCATTCCCTTGGACCTGAGAGCATGTGCATATGCGCTCCCGGTTGCTCCAAATTGCCGTCATGCTGCCAAAAATCATGGCCGTCCCGGTGGCTGAAAGCGTGAAACGCGCTCGGTAAAACTAGGAACTTGGAGGGTGCCCTTGCCAGGCAGGGCTGTGATGTGGTCGGGCCGGGCTGTGATGTGGTCGGACCAGGCACTTTAACAGGAAGGCACTTCTTGTGATCAAGCGCTATGGGCCACTAGGGTGCTTCGCCACTGATGTTGACTTTTGATTGAAAGTCGCAACTTCGCACATTTCTGGGGGGTATTAATCAACAGTCAGCATGACGCTGGACATGTTCGCTTGTCCAGCCAGTGGAGGCTCCCATCTGGTAGAGCTATTATAAACACCATTTCGATCCCTTTGGGGATTGGCTGACGGCTCCGCCAAAGGCCCCATGGCGCCGCCAAAGTTGCCGGCCATCCATGGCAGGACCGATGCGTGTTTTGAGTCTTGGAGTAAGGCTTTAAGGGGGGGCCCTCCAGGGAGGCTTCTTCACCTTACAATCTTGTGGGTATAGTTGATTCATATTGATTCATTGACCTCTTGATTCTTACTCTTCGGGCCTTTTTTGGGGGGTTTGTTGGTCATGAATTTCCATGCACACCCATATTGGATCCTCATCTATCACTCGGGACATTTGGTTGATCTACGAGATGCGACCGGTCACCCGGTCGCCATGCCCAGATGTTTCACACATGTTCAGAAAAATACAATGCGTGTGGACAATGTAGACTCTTGATTGTGTTTCACCCCCCATTTGAAGATGATTTCCAATTCAAAGCGGGGGTTTATATAGTAGGTTGGAGGCCATCGCGATTGTTTTACGAATTATCTCTTCAAACATCTTCAAACTGTTTGAAGCGAAACCTTTCAGAGTCTACACGAATTTGCTCCGAAGCGGAACCAGGCTGGGCATGGAGAAGTCGGCCTCCATGCCCCGCATCGAGGCTCCACACCCGCTCACGGTGCCTTGGAAACGGTCTCGGCCGGTCTCCGAAACGACGAAAGCTGGACCTGGAAACGGTGAACGGCTTAGGAGGGCATCGGCACATGCAAACATACAACGGAAACAAAACACCAAGCCTTGCTTGCAAAAGCCTCGTGGTAGAGGATTCTTTGTAGGTGATCACATTCTTCTTGTGCATAGGTGCTTTTGTAGGTGGGCTTGAGTAATCTTAAATGTTGCTCATTTGTATGAGGGAGCTCTTTGGAAGGGGTTATGATGGCAGTGTTTTGCAAGTGTTCAGCGCTTTGCTCGGCGGTGACATTCATTGCGGACTGAGTCCGCACCTACCGTTGGGCATCCCAGTCGAAAAAGCCTTTCCCTATAGACTACTCGGTATATCTCGATATTATCATGGATTGTATAGTTAGATAAATAAATCCAAAAGTCAGGCCCAGCTCACCTGGGTGCCAACCGCTTTCCCTTTTCAGCCTTCGGCCTTTCGGAGCCGTCCACCGGGGCCATCTACCTCGATGGCCCGCGGCGAGGTGCCCAGTTTCAGACGGCCAGACGTCTCGGGCCAGCTCCAGGACGGTGCAGTCGACTGGTCGGTGCAGAGTGGACTGGTGAAGGCCCCTTTTTTCCGCACATGGTAACAGCGTGACTGTAGGTAGAGCGGTTTTGGCTCACCCCCCTCACTATGGTTATACATGGTGATACTAGCTTTTGGTCCCACGTGGACGGAGACTTGTCTTTCCCAAGAGTTTCTAATTTGGGAAGATTCTGCTTGTTGATCTTCTGAAATGGCATCGTGGGCATCAGGCAGATCATGGGTGGGCCGAGACCATTTGATTCGGCTTGTCTCACTTGGATCACCGGTCGGCGGATCGCAGATGCCACCGATGGCGGGTTCGTTGGGTCAAGGGATGAAGTGATCGGAATCTGCTGAGAAAGGCTACAAGGGCCCGACGTGAATGTGGCTTAAAAGATCTTACAAGCAAAGCTCTTTTAAAACGCCCTCCGCGGTGGAACACAACCATCCAACGTGGTTTAAGTGCATTGGGTTCATATTGTTTCGCCCCAAACTGTCAGTGGAGCATTGGATGATTGGCCGATTTCGGCACATCAAAGCATGTCCAAACGGTGGGCTTTCTCGCCTTCATCCACCTATACCCACCCACGTTGGGTTCCCCCGGCTTCGGGGCGCTCAGGAGATCGGACAACTTTCTAGCAAGATTGTCGGCCCTGGCGGCATGAGCAAGAAAATGCGGGCACCATGGCGAACCGTTGGGTCGTTTGGTCACTCTGTTTGTGTTGGAGTGTTACCCAATTGGGGAGAAGATGACGGTATCAGAAATTGAAGGATGTCAGATGTCAGCCCCATCCTCCATATTACAACTTTTGCCGTGGCTCCGCCAGCCAAGGCACTAGCAACATCCGCCAGTACGCCGGATTTGCGAGGAGGCCGCTTGCCTGGCTGATTTGCCGTTTCCTTGTTGTTGCAACAGCCCTGCTCATCCAACTGGCAACTGTTCCGCCATGGTGATACCTTGTTCATCCCTTTTAAATCCCTTTCCTGCCTACTGTGCATGGGCCTCAGTGACCAGTGATCGAACATGAGGCATGAAGGCAAGCGAGCTAGCGAGGCCTGAGCCACTAGCACCTCAGCCGCATGGAGATGAAGTGAGAAAGATGAGAAAGCATCTCCTAGCTCGGTCGCACCCAGGTTAGAACTTGGAACTTCCTATGATGGCAGAATCCAGTGAATGGACACAGATATAGCTTCACAAATCCCTATCGATGTATGATCAGCGAAATCACGGGATTCATTCATGATCTTTTTGTTGATGACCATCATATCTAGTCTAGGTCCGTCACCAACACCATGTTGCGATCCACAGACAGAAGCTACCACCAGCGGCTGTCGGCTTTCATGGACTTAAGGCTCAGCCAGAGCTGAGCAGCCCTGCGCGTACAGGAGACCTGACAATTCGTAGGGACCCTGTGGCTGGGATTTGAAAGAACCCACGGCATAGGGCGGCTGTGCATTTCAATAGGGAGACCCCGAACCGTTGGCTAGACTGGTCTATCTTCCCCCTTCCAGGGGGGAGGTCTCCCTATTTTAATGCACGCCCATAGCATCAAATTACTTAATGCACGCCCATATCAAATCCCTTGGTCTAGGCTGACATTTTGAATTGGACTGGTGCTGTCGACAGCACGACCTGTTGATCTATGTTGATCTGCTATTTTGGGGCGAACAACCACCGTACCAGCAATGACCCTGGAATCTTGGATCCCAAAAACAACCGACCACTACTATTGAGGCCGAATGAAAGTGTGCAGCATGCATGTTAAGCCAGCCAAGAAGAACTGAATGCAGCATATGCAACCCACTATATAAAGACCTCCACGTTGCTTGCCACTGTTCCACATCGGAAAGTTGGGGCACAGATAATCCAGCCAAGAAAGCCTCTGGTTGTGATTGCTACTTCAGTGGGTCATCATGTCGTTCTGACACTTGCACACCCTCAGCTCAGCAACAACTGAACGTCCTTTGGTGAGGAAATCGCAGTCTTTTGCAACCTGCATGCACTAGATGAGCCTGGAAGAATGTTCCAAGACGCGAGAAAGTAGGTCCGGTCCAAATTAGCTGGCACTCACTGATTTCCGATGTTGCTGATTGCTGATTGGCTGTCATGTCTTGATTATGGAAGCCCTCCGCCGGCCTCCACCTGCCCAGCGCAGGAGGTGCCTATCCTCCGAAGGCGCCTGCTCAGCCTGCAGCTGAAGCTCCTAAAGAGGCTCTTGGGTGAGTACGTGCGTGCTCGTGTGCATGCATGGAGTTGCGATTGTTGGAAGTGTGTGCTGGTAGAGCTGGAGCGCCGCAAGTAAGTAGCTTGGCTTATGCAATTTAGGCAGCATGGCCAGAGTAGTAGTAGCAGAGACACGGGAAGGAAGACTAAAGGTCAAAAAGGGGGCGTTCATGGAGGAAAGAAAGCAATTGGAGTGCGATTTCGTGTGATTCGGCTGACGCGCATTTCTCCATTGAAGCCACCAAGTGCATGGAACGAGGAGAAGTTGGAGTACTTGAAGCCGGCTGAGACTGCGCACTACAACTTCAGAAATCTTCCTCTCGAGATCTTTGATCACGCTCCAGACTTCGAGGTGAAAACGCCTCAAGAATGGATGGAGGAGGCAGATCTGAACCATTACCGAACACCAAAAGGCTTGAACCCAGCTCTTGCTAGCTTCATGGTAAAGACCTCTTTGCCATTATGCCATACATTGCCATACTATCCGTATCCTGCCTTCCAATTGCAAGAATGCAAAAAGTGAGGCGCCCTGAGGTGTCTGAAGCATTGACTGCAACTGATTCAACATGTTCGAACATCTCACCATCGGCTCTGCTGTGAGGTGCTGAAGGACGATAGGCGGCCACAGGCTTGCGTAGTGCATTACAAGAACAAAAAATGGACCATGGTCCGCTGCTGGGTCCTGCGGTACGAAGAAGCCATCAACAGCAGCTGGCCAGCAAGCTGGTTGTGGGCACGCGCTGCAATGTCGTTCATCAAACCTCACTGAATCAACAAAGAACATGTTTCATGGGCTGGCTGCGACTTGGCAAGCCTATGTGCTGAGGATATATTGTCGAGATGGAAGACGCAAGCCAAAAGAAGGTGAAAAGCAACTTGGCAAGCGAGGCTTTCAGAAAACCTTTGAGACGGTTGCGATCCTACAGGTGGGACTGAGAGAAGTGGGGATCCCTCAGCATAGACCATTCATTTACAGCTGGGGGCGGGTGACCTTCTGGTGATGGAGAGGGTAAGAGAGAGAAGAACACCTTGTCCATCCTTCTCCCACAAAACCATCAAAATGCTTTGACATGGTCTCGAGCTTGCGGACGCAACGCGCCACTCTCGCTCCAAAAAGACGGACCCTTCCACAAGCGTTGTGGGGTTCCAGAGGGTTGGAAACATGCCTGGTCTACAAGTTGAAGATGCACCGCGAGTAACACAACATCCATGAACACAACGGTGTCACATGGTGTGAATTCCCCAACGACCAGTGGACACCCGCGGGAAGAGTCATTTGGTGGGTGGAGCCATTTCTCAGGCACCCAGAATTATTCCTAGGACTTTGTTCGTTGCCACTATTGCACTATAGCTGTGCGGCTTCCCATCAAGACTTATGAAAGACTTAGGAACTCGAATGAAAATGGGAAGATGATGGAAGATGAGGTCCCAATACTCCAGAATTCCTCCCATCAGGAACTCTCAGACATCCTTTCCGTCGTTTCTCTTCCCGTTGGTCAACCAGGACCGACCAGGACCGGTCCCTGGCACCAGAACCCACCTGAGACCCTCGGGATCAGTGTGAATCGAGGTTCCTGAGGTTCCTTTTTTCGGATGTGGTTCGACTCCCAAGGACTCTCCTTGCGGTTCAACGCGGAGGATCCCCAGAACTTTGAGAAACGCGTGGAGACTTGTAGAGCTCGGAAGGCCGGGAATGGGGAATGGCTTGGTGCAGGAGTCCCGCCAGGGCGTCGCCATGGGGATCCCTGGATGCGTCGCATGGCGTCGCCTTTCGAGTGATGGATGGATGATGGATGACCCCATGGTCCAGGGATTGGCCAGGCGAGTTGATGGGAACAGGGCACATGCCCCCCTCTCCTCATCCTCCGACTCCAATGAAGCGGTAAACCGTAACTGTGTGCCCAATAGGTGCTTTTGACGTGGTCGGGACATCTGCATGAAGTCGCGTCGGACGGGCCATGTGCTGCCCAGGGCACACACGTGCCGTCCGCCCGTGGATCGGGTCCGCCCGTGGATCGGGCCGAAGGGGTCGGCGACGCGTCACGACGCAGGCGCATTGTGAACTGCAAGAAGCCTTCATCGACTACATCGAGCACAAAGATGACCAGGTGGTCACCCCGATGCCTCGCTCGGTGAAGGAGTTCTTCATCCGAGCATGTCATCCGAGCCGCAACGAGCCGAGCTGGAGCGACCGGTCGCAACCGGCAATGCCCGCCCACGGGCAACGATCAAATGGAACCACGTGGTCCACAGCACTGTTGATTGATCTACAGGACTTGTAGAAACGCATGGACTTCCGGCAGCGTCGGATAGCTCCCAGTTTGGGTGGGTGACACTCACCAACTCCTGGTTTGCATGGTTTCTCCATGTTCCATGCTTGGAGGAGGTGTTGTTCGAAAAGATCATGTCAAGAGTCCATGTTTAGCTCCCAAGAACGAACATGGACCTCGAGAACAGCAGTGTGCTTCATTCACTACAGTCACTACAGGCGGCTGGTTTTGGAGTTCATGTCGTGTGCAGCTGCAGCCGCTGTTTGCTCCGTGGTCCTCTTCGACCCATCCGGTCCGAGACCAGTCGGTGGGAGGGCGGTTGGTGTTCGATTGAGGCTTGGAGCGATGTAGCTTGGAGGAGCCCAATAGCCATGGGAGCACCATCCGGGAGCTGATGCAAGAGGTTGAGGCGGGGAACGGAGGCTGATGGGGGTGGGGAAGTCGTGGAGGGGTTCTTACAGTCCAAGCTTTGCAGGTTACATGTTTGAGAGGGACTTGCAATCTATGTCTTATGAGTATGTCTATGTATTTGAGGGTCAAGATTCTTGTATTTGTAGTGATGTTGTGATTGCTGAGTGAGATTGGAACTTTGAGAGTTGGACAATGTATTTCGAAAGGATTCAATAGGTGCGCCCCACTCACTACTTCACTACCATGTTTTTGCAGCGGCTATGTAATTGTTGGATTTCTTAGGTGACCAAAGTGAGGAGCTGCTTTTTAAACATCCTTTCCCGGTCGCAATGAGCATCAGTCGAGGAGAACTACATCCTCTCCATGAAGCTGTGCTTGGGCCTGTTTAGTAAGCTTGGTGTGGGAGAGGGGGGTAAATCGGTAAATGCATGCATAAAGTGCAGAAGGTTCACAGACAAATCATGTCAACTCCTGACCCAGCGATTTGGGATCCACTGCGGAACAAGATAGCCTTTGGTGTGTCCAGGTGTGAATTATTTTGCTGACAATGTTGCTCACCTAGGTTCAATGTGAAGGTGGAGCTGATCCCGCTGTTTGGCACAAAGGACGTGGGACATTCATGCTTTTTCAGAACTTTTGGCTTTGCACTTTGCACCATGCACAAGAGGTGGCTTTGTTGACAGGACGCCTATCTTCCGGATGAGTCCAACGAATTTTCGATGCAGTTTGCATCCGTCATGGGCAGCTGCTCACCTGCTCTTGAATGCACAGCCTTGTTGCGATGTCTCGATGGTTCGAGGTGTTGGAATGTCGTTTGGCCACCCAAGGCCAAGAGCGTGTTTGTTTGAAGCGATGGCCTTCAACCCAATAGCAATGGCCTCCAACCTAAGAGCAATGGCCTCCAACCTACTAGCGATGGCCTCCATCCTATAGAGCGATGGTCTCCAACCTAATAGAGTGTTTTCTTTTTTTTGATTGTGATTGCAAAGTACAAAAACTCAGGCTTCTTGCCCTTGCCTTGCCCGGAATCGGGGCTGGTGGAGCATGCAAAAGCCGAGGCAATCATCAACTGAAACATGTCAATCCCCAACCCCAGGTGTGAAGTTCTTGTATTTTGTCCGTGACATTCTTGTCCAAATGCAACTTGGCCTAAGCCTTAGCAATCCCAAGCAACAGCTCCTCTCCCCGTTGGGTGTTACTACCATCATTGGAAGAGTTTTCGCATTTCCTATCCGTGGATCTGGGATCTTTGGCTGGGATCTAGGGAGGCGGGCAGGACGAGGCATTTTTTGGGGTTTCCATGAGGCCCCATCCTTCTCGTCGATAAATTGGGTGACTGGGACTGTGACGTTTTTGCTGGATCTCCACCCCTCAGTAAGCTTCTTGACCTGGTGGCCTTGGTTCTACTGTCTTTTAGGAGAATCAGATCGCCTCAGCAAGAGCTATATGGAGTACTTGCGCAATCGATTCGGACGCAATTGATGATCTTTTTGCGAACAGACCTGGGTCGGGTTCTCCTGTAGATGAGCGGCCCCACCAGCGAATGGTACATAACATGGCAAAAGAATGCGAAAGAGCCAAAGCTATGCTCTTCATATGTTCAATTCTGTTCATCTTCCAATATCAATCTGCAGCTGGCCATCCGTGTCAACCATCGGAAACAAGATCCGTCCAACCTTCGGCCGCCAGATGGGCGTCAGAGAGCTTCTCAAAGAGATGTTGCAGATGCCACTTCTGGGCTCCAGCATTTTCGCCATCACCAGCCAGGTGCGATGGGCAGAGCAACCAACCTGTTTTCGGATGGCTGGTTGCCTCATCATCTGCAACCCTCCCATTTGGCAAACCTCCCATCCTCCCTTGCCGGTTTTTGGGGCAAACAGCCACCTGACCTTCCATTCACCATCAACCCCATATGTGCCAGCCACCTGTTTGGCCGTGTCCTCTGAGGTCTGGCGGCGGTACATCAACGAGGTGGCCAAGATGGAGCTGGTCGACACCTCCCGTGTGGGTGGCGTGGACGTGACGCGGCAGCGGAAGCTCATCAAGAACGGCGACTCGGTGATTTTCGAGCCCCAGGACCGGGGCTGGGCGAGGCAACGACTGGGGCAGGGTTTGGGAGGGTTTGGTGGGATGGGTGGGTAGTGGGAAGTTATTCGCCAGGATGCATCGACAGGGTGCATCCACATGGATCCGTGTTGGTCTAGATTAGATGAGACCGCCTGCGGGAGGACATGTTCGAGCATCAGAAGAACCATATCGAAAGAATCACCACCCACTTGAAGCGTGGCTGGCGCGACTACATCATTGCAGAGGCCGACCAGAAACAAGCGGGGCTTGGGCTTGATGTTTGTTGGGCGCTGCGCAACGACACGAGGAGTCCGTGGCATCTGTAGGTCTTCCGGCGCCGGCCCCGCGCTGATGCCAGGTGCTAGATAAGCTCTCAGACGACTACAACTTTTTCAGCGACGACTTCGAGAAGCACATGCAAAGCTGCCCACTCAAGACAACTTTCCACACCCCCAACATAGAGAAAAACCGTCCTTTTTTCGGATGTCGTTGTTGTTTTTTAATCTTCGAATGCAGAAGTCACTATAGGCGTTGGATTTGGAGAGTTCGTTGTGTAAACCCTCGCTCGGAGTACTCCCCGTTGGGCTCGGAGTACCTGGGGGTTCCTAGGTCCGCTGCATGCGCTACTTCGAAAGTTAGCACCTTGACTTTGATGTGTGGAAGAGTTCGACCATGCCAGAGCCCCGTGGTAAAGACATTGTAAGACCACGCGTTTTCGTAAAGAGAGGGGCTGAGAAAGCTTCCATGATTGTATGGCAATTATCCTGCATCCTTCTTGCTATTTTATGTTGTTGTTGTTTTTATCGGTTGTTGTTGTCTACAGTCAATTTCTGCCATCTTCACAGCACCACCACGAGTTGCAGGTCCAAACGTTGAAGCCTTCTTGTCGTTCGCAGAACTGACGATTAAGTTCCACACGTTCATTTATATAATGGTTGACATGCCCCCCGGGATGCCAGCTGAACGTTTCTTTGGTGAGATTTTTGTCTTCAGCACCCATGCTGATCCGAGGACTTGATCATCAATTCTCAACTTCGGTGGCCACTCGGCGCAGAGTCAAGAGCTCCAGAGCTCGCGACGCCGACTTCAAGTCTGCAGGTCCCCGAGCAGGAACATCCTTTTTGGGACCGAACAAATTAAGCATATTCAATTAAACCTATTATTACCGATTACTCTTATATTCTATGATGCCGGTTTCTTCAAACCGATGATGTGGTTATATTTTACCTAGCCCCGATCTCGTTCGGGGTCGTTGTCGCGTGCTTGTTTCAGACCGAGAAATCAGCTTCAGTGGCACTGATCGTGTTTGGTGGCTCCGAGTGACCCGTTTCTTCGCAGCCAACCAACTGGTTCATGGGGACCGAAAGTTGTGGTGGGCCAGATGCGGGAAGAGCTTGTTGCAGGAGCTCAGGGGGACGGTGTGCATGATGATGCATGTAGATGGAACCGAAGCAATGGATTCTCGTTTTTTTCCGGGAGTTGTTGGGTCACTGGATTTTGGACGGAGGTTCGTGGAAGATTCCATGGAATCCTGGAGCAACTTCTTGAGCCTTGGCGCTTTAAGACCCCAGAAACCCGGAAAAACGACACCAATGAAACATGACGCTTCAAATGGACAACCTATTTCCATCAGCGGATTTCCGGCAGCAGATGTCTTCGTGCACCAGAACAAATGTGTTTCTCTGCTTTGTCTACCAACAAGAATATCAATGACCTCAAGAAGGGTGCAGACCGTACTTTTGTTCGTTTCTCAGTGGCATGACCCGTTTGACGACTGTTTTGGTCCGTGATGATGATGAGTATGTTACATTCCGCTCGGCTTTGGTCGAAGCGAGCTCAAAATGGCTCGCTGAGGAAGTCCTTCCTGCCAGATCCAAAGAAGAAGCGGCCCCATCCGCTGATATATTTGGACCTTGAGGCTGGTCAATTGGAAAAGATCGTCAGATGGTGTGCAGGATTCACCCAGCAGCAGCAGCAGGAGGAGGAGGAGGAGGAGGAGGAGCAGGAGCAGGAGCAAGCAGCAGCAGGAGTAGTAAGGATCCCGGGATTCACCCAGTGGTGGGAAAGCACTTGAAGTGAAACTATTAGTATGTGCACCCCACAACAAGACCAAGGAGGATATGATGAATTTATATATATATAGATAAGCTTACATGCACGTATGTTGTGACAATGGATCTCCAAGTGTGGACTGCCGCCTTGACGGCACGCGTCGAAATGATCTCGCGAGGCGGACAACGACGAGATCTACTTGGAGCCAGAGCCTACGGACGGGAGATAAGACTTGGATCTTGGGGATTGTGGGCTCAAGTCACCTTCAACTGATTTCTTGGCGTGTGTCTCTCTCTCTTTTGGCAGCAGCTAGACAGCTAGCCTCAGCTTTAGCTGATTTCGAGTGGATGCATTTGTCATAGTAGAGGACTTCATCTCGCAAAACTTATCAAACCGTCCACCCTCAAAATATCTCAAAACCACCCTCAGAGGTAAGTATACAATTCTTATGGATAGATGATCCTCCTGTCATGGCATGCCAGGACTTCCTGAATGAGTTCGACAGCATGCTGAAGGAGGCAGTGCGTAGTACTAGCATTGTCCGGTGCCCAAAAATGTCGGGCGCACATGGCCGTTGCCGGCTCGGTGAACTCCACCTTTTTGGGGTCCAAAAGAATGACCGGGACATCCCCGGCCCTTTCGATTTTCTGGGGAAGCCGGCATTCACGAGTCCCTACATTTGAGAGATGGAGTCCAGCCAACCGCTGAGGGTGGCCAACATATTTTTTTAGTGATTTCGGAGTAGGAGTTGGAGCAAACGAAAAGCAATCTCAGAGTGCAGGATAGGGGACAAGTCAAAAATAGTGAGCGGAAAGGTGAGCAGCAAGCGATCCAAAGGTGATGTGATTGAACTATTTGGATACCAAAAGCAGTAAGAAAGCAAAAAAGGTTGCCAACATGTGATCAAAAAAGCAATCCAGAATCGAAACCTAATATATAAACGTCACGTGTTGTTTCGGGAGGCGTTTCACAACATGTCAGTCAGTATGCTCACTATTTTCTCACTATTTTCTTGCTATTTTCCTGTCCATGCTTTGCTTTCCTAGGTCTCCGCAATCACTTGTTGATTGCTGTTTTCCACATGTTGCACGAACACCCCAACCTATGTTCACTATTTTCTTGCTGAGTTCCTTACTCAGGACCTCACAAAAACATAGATCTAAATTTCCAGTGGTTGCCTGTCGTTGCAAGTCTTAACCCTACATGCAACGCCAACGCAAAGCCTCCGAGGTCAAGACCATGGAGGCAGAGCTCATGCCCTTCACGAATGCCCGGCCCTCAACTCCTTCTGGCACGCATGAGCCGCGCGGTGTGCCACGCAATGTGGTGTGCGTGCGTGCCTGATGCCCAGGTGGAAGAGAAGGTGCTCTTCACCCCGGAGCTAAGCCGGATGCCTAGAGGAATGTGCAGCACGGGTGCCGGCTGCATGGGTTTGTCAAAGAGGAGGATTGCCATCAGTAGGATGAAGGTTGAACTCCTAAGTGACTCAGGTGGCCCACTTCATTTTGAGACAAGATTGATGTTGAACTCACTAGCATTTGGAAGAATGACCAAACAAATCTGAGTGTTGGAACCCTGTAGTTAGTGAGTCCGTCAATCAGGATCTTTAGGTGTGCGCTTTGAACTGCATGGGGGAGAGGTTTAGCAAACGTGGGCCCTGAAGGAAACTGAGGAACTTGGAGCAGGTACTCCGGAGTTTCTTTGAGAATCGCTTATGATTTCTTCGTTTTTGGCTTAGAGACTGAAGCCCAGATTCCCAATTCACGGGACCAGTCGTCTTTCCACTGAAGCCCAGTTTCTTTCGGCCCTGATGTTGCAGGTCCCGATGGCGAGGACGTGGACTACGATCCGTCGGCACTCAGGGCTCCGAAACAGATAGAGGGTCATTGGCCGTTTTAGGTAGCATTGTGACAATATTGTGACCATTTGTGACCCATATGATGGGCACTCCGGATTTTGATGGATGATAGGACTCCCCAGTGGCGGATCTTGTTAAGTATTGCGAACCAATGTCATGGGGCCGACAACTTGTTTTGAATGATTTAACGGACGTTTGCTTTTCCTAGCCTATAAGGGGATCTGCGATACATCCGCGCCTTCGCCGCGAGCGGTTCTTTCTCGGTATCTTGCGAATTCTGAAGACGCTGGCAAGCATTTGCGCTTGGAGTGAAGGGCTCCTTGATGGTCCAAGATGCGCAGCCACATGTCCACCATCCTTGTGCAAAAGGTGGAAGTGCCAATGCAGATCGCAGATGCTGTTTCATGGATACGGTTTTGGATGGTTGTTTTGGGAGACATGCCATGGTGGTTCATGCTTGGGCACATGGCACGATCACTGTGTTTGGAGAACGCGGAGTGTGAGTCTGGCATGGCGATCGCGCGGTCCTGCCGTGGCTTAAGGCCAAGGCAGGGGCATGAATCTTGATTTGAGCTACAAATCCATCACAGTTCCATAGATAGTTGGAAGATGTTGGAAGCAATCTTGAGAGATCTATGCGTGTGGTTGTGCGACCTATCTAACGAGAACATTTCACGTTTGGAGGGTATATGGGACGGATTGCTAGCGTAAGTGTTCCGCAATATGCACACTGCATGTCTCAATCAGTGCCAGGCATGCCTGACACTGATTTCCTCTCGGGCTTTGGGAAGCGTCATGATGCTGGGACGCAACACATCATTCAGAGGGAGACCAGGTGTTCCAAAAATGTTCTGGATGCCGTGAGCCCGTGAGCCAGTACAAGTGGAGTTTTGACTCCAATGCCCTTCTGGAACGCTTGGCACGGTTAATTTGCACGAGCTCAAAGACAGCCTACTAGTGGAGGAACAGAGCAGCTTTTGCTACCGATCACTTGAGCCAGTGAGCTTCGCAAAAACCCGTGCACCCAAAGACACGGCACCATTGAGGCCTTGTTTCAGCAGAAGTTGGCTGCGGCACAGCAAAGACTCAGCAAGGCAGAGCCAAAGAGTGTGAGTAAAGAGGACTGCCGCGGAGTTGATCGATCGATGCCTGAGATTCCTTTGGTTTGATTGGCCCAAATCTTCAGATGTGGAGGTTTCCGGTGATTTGGGTGGGCACCCCCCCAGACAGGAGAGGGAGATGTCACGCACCGATGCAATGTTTCTGCTTTGCGCTGCACTCCGTTGGAGATCGCCAGGACGGAGCAGATGGGATCCCTCCAGAGGCGAGGCAGTGTTTTGAGTGGGCCGTACACCATGACGAACTCAGAGTGAGTAGGATCCATGTAACATGCAAATGGCTTATTCGCGCAGCTACGCGGCTGGGTCCACCAGCGCAGGGAGAAATGTTTGTGGCAATGTTGCCGTATTTGTGGCGTTATAGCATGGTTGCAAGCACTGGTGGTGGCTAGATTCAAACTGCTTTTCAAGAGATATTCTGAGTGCCATTTAAAAAACATACTGTAGATTCCCATCGTCTCAGTTCTATCTGGCCCATTCCGAACCCCTGGCCAGCTAGAGCCGTACCATGATGCCGCTGGTGTTTGTTAGTGCCACTCAAACATGTGCGTGTCCCAAAGCCTTCATTAACTGCTGGTGTTTTTTGACAACCTTCAAAAACTCAAGTTTCTTGGCCGATAAAGGGCCCCCACCCAGCTAAAGCTGAAATCTTGCGATTGACTATGCCATCCGGCCATCCGGATACAGATGCCCGTGCGGGCGGATTTGTTGACCCTTTGTGGAAGATGTGGAAGATTTACCCACACTGACTGACCACTGAAACCACACCAAGGTAGGCATAAACATATTCTATAACATCATATAGATACGTCGGAGCATGTTCCTTGCCATTCGCAATCCAAAGACAGGGCTGAGCATGGGGGAGTCGCCCAGCAGCTTTGTGATGGGACCGCGAATCGGTGTTGGGAAGCGCATCTCATATCTCTAGCGACAGAAATCAGCAGAAGACATTCTGCTCAAAGACGACCGTGTTGGCCCCATGGCTCCACCAGGACGCCGCCGGAAGCGGCGCGCCCGAGGAGCCGGAGGGCGAGACGCTGAAGTTGCCGGATGTGCTGCAGCTGCGGGAGCAGCTCACGGCGCGAGCGGTGCAGCAGGGACATTTGCAGCTGGGTGAGAAGAGCCATCAGAAGCTGTTTGGGCTTCTGGGGGGTTGGATGTTGCATGGGCTTGTAGAGGTTTTAGATAGATTTGCTTCTGATAGCGGATGGTGGAGACGGGCGAGTAGATCGAGTTTGCGGGGATGCATTTTGATGCATTGGTAGGGATTCCGGGATGCCTGCTTGTGGAAGCTCACATCCTATGGGATGGCCTCATGTAGTGAGATGAGTGGCTGTGTGTGGGTGGATTGCTAGTCTGGTGGGTTTGCACATGTCACATTGTTTGCACTGATGATTGGCCTTGGGCTGGCTCCCTTGCCAGCCTCCAAGCACTAAGACAGGGCAGCAGCAAAAACATTCATGATATATAATGATGATATTGTGATATATACAACCCTAGATTTGTTGAATTTCCCACAAAATCTAGGAACATCTAGGAACTAAATCATTAGTTCGAGCGCTTCTTCAAGGAATCTCCTGCCCTCAGCTACAACCCAGCTTCTTTGAAGACGCATGAGCTAATCCTGCATCCAATTATATACTAGAATTTAGTAGCTGGTAGCTTACTCCCTTACTTAATTAAGTAGGCACCTACTTAATCGTACTTAATCAAGTACGGGCGGGCTTAAAAAGAGAAAACACAAACAAAGGAGAAAACACATCACCCCCTTTTTTGTCCAAAATTGATGGTTTGTGGCGTCGTTCACACTGTATCGGACTCAATGGCGACCTACTGGGACTCGCCCTGTATCGCCGGGAACAGCTGAACGCCCAGGCCTTCGAAAATGGCGACCTCAGGACTGGGATGGTGCAGCAAAAGCAGTGACAGGGTGTCCGCGTTGTGGAGGGCACACCCATTTGGGGCGTGGTTTTTTGGGGGTTTCGTTTCAGCAGAAGATCGTTCTCAAAACTGATCCATCACCCAAGTGGTATTGGATGGTATTAGTGATAGTCTCGACATAACACCTACAGTTACTGGCATGCCTGAGCATCCTTGATTCGATGACACTTACATAGTCTCCTTCAGGAGACTTGGCCAAGCTCGCGCCCAGTTCGCTGCCCAAAGAGGGGACAAAGGTGGGAAAGAACAGCTTCTCTATCAAGCTCTCCTTGCTGACGGTTGAATGTGAAAACCCAAGGGTTGCAGAAGGTGAAGACCTCAAGACAGGCCCCTTTGCGACCTTTGCTCAGCACCGCCCTGTGCTAGTGGATCTTTTGAACGTCACCTATCAAGTGGTCTCCAAAATCGGCCCGCAGATTTGATATGGCATGGTTTAACTGCAAGCTTTAGAGAGGGGATAGTCATTTCTTTCCATCTCTCTCTCTCTCTGTCTGTCTGTCTGTCTCTGTCTGTCTCTGTCTGTCTGTCTGTCTCTGTCTGTCTCTGTCTGTCTCTGTCTGTCTGTGTCTGTCTGTGTCTGTCTGTGTCTGTCTCTGTCTGTCTGTATCTGTCTGTCTGTGTCTGTCTGTGTCTGTGTCTGTCTGTCTGTGTCTGTCTGTCTGTGTCTGTCTGTCTGTGTCTGTCTCTGTCTCTGTCTGTCTCTGTCTCTGTCTGTCTCTGTCTCTGTCTGTCTGTCTCTGTCTGTCTGTCTCTGTCTGTCTGTCTCTGTCTCTCTGTCGTCTGTCTCTCTGTCGTCTGTCTCTCTGTCGTCTGTCTCTGTCGTCTG